GCAGGTTTTTCTGGTTTCCAGGGATGCCACTGGCTCTGAGTCATGAGCCCTTGGGGCTTTGTTCTTTCGTTTTCATTCACTCCCTCAAAGGTGCTGGGAGCCAGGGGCTGGGCCCTGGGTCTGAACCCACACACAAAGCCTTGTTGTGTCCCCTCGGCAGCACCCAGCAGCTCACTCGCCCTGACCTTTCCCGCAAATGCCACGGAGCCCTGGCAGGGCAGACTCCCGAGGGCAGGAACCCTCCTCGGCTTCCTCTCACACCTCCCTGGGTCCTGGCAGCAGCAGGGCTGGGCGCCAGAACACCGTCTCCAGGGCGGGCGGAGACGCAGACTGATTAAGACACTGGCATCACACATCACGGGGCCTGGGTTCAAGTCCCAGCTGTAGCCCCCGACTCCAGCTTCCTGCTGATGCACACCCTGGGAGGCAGCAGGTGAGGGCTCAAGGATTGGGGTCCCTGCCGCTTATGTGGGAGACCCGGATGAAGTTCCTGGCTTGTGGCTTCAGCCTGGCCTGGCCACTGAGGGCATTTGGGAAGTGAACCAGCAGAAGGGGGCTGTGCGTATACGTGTGTGTGTATCTCAATACATTTTAAAAAGAAAAAGACCAGTCTCCTCCACACTGCATCATTCCTGAAAAGCAATTCTGTGCCTGGTCCCCAGCTGAAACCTCTGAGAACAGTTTTTAAATATTACTTATTTGAAAGACAGAGTGATGGGGGGGGGGCGAGTGGGGAGGAGAGAGAGAGATCTTCCATCCACTGGCTTACTCCCTAAATGGTCACAGTGGCTCAGGCTGGGCCGAGCAGAAACCAGGAGCCAGGAACTGCAGCCGGGTCTCCCACGTGGGTAGCAAGGACCAAGCACTCGGGCCGTCTTCTGCTGCTTTCCCAGCCACATCCGCAGGAGCGGGGTCAGAAGCCAGCTTACTGACTGTGTCACAACGCCCTGCCCCCACCCTACGGGGTCTAACACTCTAACCTGAACTGTGCGTGACACGCTGCGGCTTGGCCAGACCCCAGCGCGTCTGCTGCCTGCAGCTTGTCGTCCACCGCTGGCCGAGCCGGCTGGCAAGTCCAGCTTCCTTCTCTGCAAAGCAGGCACGGAGCGGCTCAGGAGTTCCTGCAGCGCAGGCAGGAGAGGCCGCAGACCGAGGGCGACTCCTCCACCCTCGGCTGCAGCTTGGCCCTGGCTGCTGTGGCATGCGGGGTGTAAACCAGAGGATAAGATAACAGATCTCTGTCTCTCCGCCTTTCAAATAGTAAAGAAATAAATCACATAGTGTTCATTCCTGCTTCTGTCAGGCAGGAAGTTAGAAGTTAGCCTGTGAGTGTGTGAGGGGCCGGAGGTAGCCAAGCCTCTGCAGCCCCGGATTTCACACTCCCAAGTCCTGTGCAGGCCTGAGAAAGTGGACAGGTGGTCTCCGCGCTTCCACAGAGTCCTCTCTGCTCAGCACCACAGGGGTTACCTGGCCTGGTAACATGGAGCCCTAACACCTGCCCAGCCTCCTCCAAGGCGGGCACCGGGGGGGCTCCCCGGTCTGACAGCACCACAGTGAAGCCTGGGGAGGAATGCCACCTGACTCACACTCAGCGGCCTTTGTCCTGGAGGGGGAGGGGAGAGGGGGGAGAGAAAGAGCGGGAGGAACTGGACCCCTTTCCCTTCTAAGCCCCCGCCTGAACCCAGCGCGCTCAGCTCCCGGCTCTGCTCAGCCACCCCCTGGGCCGCCAGGTGCATTCTCCCCACTAACCATGCACCCGTGCTTGCCAGCGACCGGGCACTCTCTCTCTCCGTCCTAACAGGCGCCCTGCCCCATGAAACCTTGCTCCCTTGCTGACCGCTCCTCTCTGCTCACACCGGAGTCCCTTCTGCACGAAGACCTATCCCACCCATCGCTAACAGAACCATTTAAACAACGTGAAAGCCATTTTTAGCTGCAGGATACACAAAACCAGGCTCTGGGCAGGCTCTCCCCCAGGGCCTTGCTAGGCCCACGCTTTCATGAGGGTCCGCCCAGGCCAGCTCAGGGCTCCACCCTACTCCTCTGAGCCCCTGCCTCGTAACCCACAGTGGCACCTGGCTCTCCGGGGGGACAATCTGTTTCTAGCTCTGTTTCCAAATTAGAAGCCATGCTACAAGGAACACCTTGTGCACACCCTGAGCTTTTGTAAAGACCACCAGGGGCTTTTTCTGGGGGGATCAGGGGCTGTGGACTTTGCCAAACTGCCCTCCAGAAACGCAGAATTCGCCTGGTCCCACGCAGGAGCAGGGCCTCAGGGCCGCACCCTTGAGAGCCCTGGACAGCCTGATGGACACTCGTCCCAGCTCCAGGCTGGCCTCCCTCTGGCTCTAACCCGCTGACCCTGCCCTGGCAAAGGCCAGCGTGGTGCCTGTCTCCAGCCACACCCGGGACAAGCTGCCAGCCAGGGCGGACGCTGACGGAGCTGACCCCACACGGGAACTCCGGGCGCAGATGGCCTTTGTACCCCAGCCCTGTCTGCCCTCACGTCTAGAATCTCCTGGTCACCTGATTCCCTGCCCTCTTTCAGAGGCCAGAAAGACCTGACCTGTCCCTATCCTGGCGTCAGACCGCCCCTCAGCTGCCGCCTCCCGCTGCCTCAGGACATCACTGCTGGTGGCAACCCCACCCCTCACCACCACCCTCAGACTCACTCCCGGGGACACCGCTGCCCGGTGCTCCCCCTCACTCACCCCGCCCCGGGATGCCAGGACATCCCTGTGGACCTGGAGCAGGCGGGGGCAGGCGGGGGCCGGGCCTGTGGGGTGGCCCAGCTGCTCATTTGCTAGTCAAAACCTGCGGGTACCTGAGGGAGGTCAGGAAAGCCCTGAGTGCGTGAGCCCTCGGCTCAGCAAAGAGCCCAGGCGACTGCTCCCGGGGTGAGCAGAGGGGCAAGAGGGAGCTCGGACCCGCCGGGGGAGGCCACCTGCTGGGGCAGCACAGGCAATGCAGGGGTCTCCCAGGCTGCTGAGGTCTACCCGCAGCGGGTGGCTTGTCCCATGTGTCCCCAGGCCACGTGGCTGGCCCAGAGGACTCACTGCCAGGAGCCAGGCAGGGTGGCAGGCAGGAAAAATGCGTGGTCTTCAGGGTGCCGCACTCTGTGCCCAGTGGTTGAACCAAAGGACAAACCAGGCCCCCAGTGGCCTCTCCCGAGCCTCACGAGAGCCTGGGTGCACAGGCTGGTCACCCCATCTCAAACTGAGGAAGGCAGGTCCCAAGACGCCACGCCAGGGAGGCCTCCCTCCCAGCTCAGTGCCGGCTGGCTGCCTCACTTTGCGCTTTGATCCTGGCCAGAGGTGGGAGCCAGCCTCTGTTCCAGACCTGCCCGTCCCCTGGACAGCCTCCCGCCCCAGGCAGCCCTGTCCTCGCACCCCCGCCAGCGCCGCTGCGTGGGACGCAGGAAGTGGCGGAGCTGCCTCCCCCCCCCCCCCCCTTCCAGGCCTCCCACCCCGGCTGGCCAGCTCCCACGGAAGGTCCTGGGCACCCCACAAGCACAGAGCCCACCCTGCAGGTGCCCACGAAACTCTCCTCCCACGCCCCCCCCCCCCCGCCCCAGGCCTGGCTGGCATCCGCCACCAGCAGCTTCCCTGCTTATCCCAGCCTGGGGGTGGGGCAAGGGGTGACATTCTGGGTAGAAGTTTGTGGAAAATTTAAAAAAAAAGTGATACAAGGCTTCCCAGCCCCTGTAGGCTTCCCACAGGGTCATCTTCGAGTGAGCACCGCCCCCTGCTGGCCAGGCCAGGTACAGCTGCCTGAGCCACACGAGCCCAGCACAGCGCAGCAGGCAGATGCACTGCCTGGATCCGTATCAGAGTGCCTGGAGTGCGCTCCCGCTCAGCCTCCTGCTAACACGCACACCCCGAGATAGCTCGAGTGTTCGAATCCCTGCCACCCACGTGGGAGACCCAGGTGGAGCTCCAGGCCCCTGGCTTCAGCCTGGCCCAGCCCCAGCTACTGTGGGCATTTGGGGAGTGAACCTGAACCAGATGGGAGATATGTTTATCTGTCTCTATCTCTGACTTTCAAATTAAGGGAAAAAAAAGTTAGCATCCAACACGCTACCGCAAATGAATAAAGAAGAGCAGGACCACAGGGCTGGGCCGGCACTGTGGTGCAGCAGGTAAAGCTGCCGCCTGCAGTGCCGACATCCCATGTGGGCCCCGGTTCAAGTCTCGGCTGCTCCACTTCTGATCCAGCTCTCTGCTATGGCCTGGGAAAGCAGTGGAAGATGGTCCATGTGCCTGCACCCGAGTGGGAGACCTGGAAGAAGCACCTGGCTTCTGGTCAGCCCAGCTCCAGCTGTTGTGGCCATTTGAGAAGTGAACCAGCAGATGGAGGACCTCCTCTCTGTCTCTGCCTCTCTCTCTAACTCTGTGTTTCAAATAAATAAATAAACCTTAAAAAAAAAAAAAAAAAAAAAAAAAAAAAAAACCACAGGCTGGGGCAGACACAAAGGAGGCCTGCATGGACCGAGCCTGTGGGGAACCTGAGACGCGGAGGGCAGTGCGGCGTGGCCACACAGCAGTCATCGGGGCAGAAGGTGAGGAGGCCAGACCAGGAGGGGCTGCGGCCTGAGACCCTCCAGCACCTCGAACTTCTGCCCCCAAAGCCCGGCCAGAGCTGGGGAGGCCCAGCAAGAGCAGTGGGCAGAGGCCCTCACCCCGGGACTCGGCCGTGGCTCCGGGCGCATCTCTGGCGGGCAGTGGGAGCCCCTGGGCTTTCAGCGTGTGACACAGCGGGGAGGAGGAGCGGGCACCGAGGACTGGCCGCCTCTCTCCAGCCGGCCCTCCTCCCACACAGGGCCTCGCGCAATCTCAGGGTTAACGTCCTCCACTGTGACCTTCCTGTCATCTAGGGCCTGCTTGTGTCGCACACAGGTCCTGTCTCCTGTACACCCTGCCCCCCCCACACACACACACACAGAGGAGCTCAAGAAAAGCCGGGCGCTGGGCGGGAGGCCACCCTCGCCCCAGGGCACTCACCCCGGGCACGTCCAGAAGCCTTGACACCAGAAGAGGAAGCTTCAAGGCCGCCACGCTGCCCGTGACGCCCACCAGGACCCGGAACTTCCTCTCCTCCGAGGGCTCGGTCGCCGGACACGAGGTCCTTGGTTCCACAGGGGGTCTGGGGGCTCCAGATTCCGGGAGCCTGGTGGGCTCTGGCTCCATGAGGCTGTCAGGATTCAGGGTCTGAAAACAGAACAAAAAGTGCCCCCTTCAGTCTCACAGCTGCACCAGAATGTCCAGCCCTGGGTGTCAGGGAGGCCAGTCTGATGGGAAAGTCAGAGCCTGCCCCGCACAAGGCCAGGGAGGTAGCGAGGTGTCAGGTGCGCGGCAGTCCAGGAGGCCATCCGAGATCCTGCCACAGGAATGACAGGAAACAGCCTGGGTTGCAAAGGTGAGGCGGTCTGGAGGAGGAAGGCAGGTTTGGGAACGGGGAGCAGCTCAGAAATGGGGCCCGGGGCCAACGCTGGGGTGCAGCAGGTAAAGTCGGCACCTGCAGCGCCGGCACCCTATAGGAACGATGGTTTGCATCCCCGCCACACCACTTCCCGTCCAGCGTCCTGCTAATGGCCTGGAAAAGCAGCAGCAGAGATCCAGGTACTCCCAGTGCTGGCTTTGGCCGGGCCCAGCCCAACGGTTACAGCCATTTGGGGAGTGACCAGTGCATGGAAGAGCTGTCTGCCTGTCCTCCCTCTCCAAACTCTACCTTTTCAAATGAATTATTTTAAATGGTGCTAAAGTGAGAGCCAGGGTTGTGGGGGCCTGGCGAGGTCAGGCCAGAATGCAAGCAATGCGAGGCGTCTGAGTTTATACAGGGTGCAGGCGACAGCGCGAGGGCCCTGGTGCTGGGGCGCCCGACCAGAGGGAGCGGCCGGAGGGGCCTGCGAGGCCTCAGTGAGTTTATACAGGGCACTAGCGACAGCGCGAGGGCCCTGGTGCTGGGACGAGGGGAGCTGCAGTGAGCTGGGGCGACCGACGAGAGGGAGCGGCCGGAGGGCCTGGTGGAACCCAAGGCCGCCAGGGCTGTGGGTGTTCTGGGAGCTGAGATAGTTGCCTCTGTGCCTGTCCCCGTAGGTCCAGCTGGGCACCCCCTACAAGTGAGCGCCCAGGAAGGGAGAGGCGTAAGGGGACACAGCCCACCCCACCCCCCAGACCTACTGGTCAGTTTCTTCCTCTGGAGCATGTGAGAAGCAGTGGTCATGACCACAAAACCGCCGGCCACACCCCCTCCTAGGCTGGCCCGGGCCACCCCAGCAACCACGGAGGACTGGCAGCAGCGCGCACTGGGCGAGGACTGCACTGGGCGAGGACTGCGGACGCCCGGGCTCTGCAGGGGTCGCAGCTGAGCGCAGTGGAGGCTACGGCTCCTCAGTGACCCCCGACCCCCACCCCCGGCAAGCTCCCTGAGCTGTGGCCAGGCCTCACTGCCACCCTGGGGCAGTCCTCGCCATCCATGAGTGAAGAACTGTGGGCAGAGGACGGAGGAGGAGTCGTGCAGCCAGAGCCCTGGGCCCTGTCCACGCTCGTGCTCCCGCCCTCGTGTGTGACTGTGGCCGAGCTCCACTGGCCAGCAGCTGTGACCTCTGCCCCACTTCAGGGCCCCAGCCAAGGGCATGCTTGCCCAGAGCTGGACAAGAGCGTCCACCCAGGGACAAGGGAGCCTTGAGGGCCTCAGCCTTACCTGTGGGATGGCAAACCCCTCCCTGCCCCACCCCTGCCAGGACAAGGGGATTCTCCCAAAACCAGAAGCAGCCCTTGACCCGGCCCCCCAGGCTGGCGTCACTCCTAGGGACCAGGCCACGGGGCAGTCACACCAGGGACTGAGCAGCTTTGTACCCCCCATTCTAGAAGCCGGGGCAGGTGTGCGTGACAGCCACCCGGAGAATCCTAGGGCAGGTGCTATGCTGTGAGCATCTGTCCCTCCAAATTCAGGAGTCTCATGTTAACAGGGTGGGGGCTTGAGCCAATGGGTGTGGAGCTGGAGCGACTGGATGGAGTTGGTAGGGTGGAGCCCCCGCGGTAGCCGCGGCCTGCGCTCCCAAGGAGCCCTGAGCCTCAGGAACCCCACGCAGGTTACGGGGACACCCCAGGGGCCCGCCATGCCGGGGCCACAGCCAGGGGAGTGGGCGGAGCAAGGGGCCCCGGCTCGAGCCCCGGACCGGTCTCAGGGGCACCTGCCAGTCACTCTGCGGACAAGGGTGGGCGGAGCTGCTGCAGGGCTGCACAAAGGAGCCAGCGCACCCGGCCAGGCAGGGCCGGGGGTCACCGGGACCCGGACCCACCACGTCAAAGCCCCTCACCGCTGACCCCGGCCGCTGCTCGGGCCCGTGTCCCACCAGTCACACGGAGCCTCGCGCCACCTTAACCGCCTCCCCGGGGCCGACGAGGGCAGGCGGCTGCTGCGGGGCGAGCTCGGGCCCTGGCTAACCGGCTGCAGCGGCAGGTGCCCCGGAGGCCCCCGCGGGCTGGGGAGCCCCAACGTCCGGGGCTTCCGTCCTGTTTCCACCAACTGTTCCGCCGCCCTGGGTACCGCGGGCAGCCCCCGCCCCTTTCTGGAAGCAGGCTCGTGGTTCACTGGGATAAACGCGGTGCGCGCTGGCGAGCGGACAGGACACCTTCCACGCGGGAGGAGCCGCCCGGCGGGCGCAGAGGGAACCCCCTACTCCGGGCCCCGCCGCCCCCGGCGGCACGCCCGCGGTGAGGAGGGGTCGCACGGGCGGCACGGCCTCTCCTCACACACACACACACGCCCGCGACTCATGGCGGCGAGCGCGCCTTCTCCGCTCTCCCCAGGCTCCCAGGCCCCTGCGACCGCTCACCCGCGCCAGGCGCAACTCGCGGCAGCCCCAAATATCGCGTGATCTGGGCCACCCTCCGCTCTGATTCCGAGGGTTCCGCTGCCTCCCGACAGGACCTGGGAAGCAGCGTGGCCGCGAGGCCTTCTGGGAGTCGTAGTCCACAGCTCTGCTTTCTGGGAGTTGTAGTCCATTTCTCCACCTTGCGGAAGCTACAGTCGGTTTTTCATGATTTGGGCCCCGCGTTCTTTGTATTGGCGGACTCTCGGCAGGGCTTGGCCTCATTGTGTGGCTGCCTCACCCTCATCCTGCCCCCACACACTGCTTATCACCGGGGGACTCAATACTGAGTAATAATAACCGCTTTTTGGGGAGGTAAACAGGGATATAAGATAAGTATGGCGTCCCCGCTCTCAAGACAAACAGAAATGCAGAATAATGCAGGATTAGGTCCACCCCGAGCGTCAGGCACGAAGGGCTCCCGCCTTGGGATCTTATTTTAAAGATTTATTTATTTTGAAAGCCAGAGTTAGAGAGAGGCAGAGACAGGTATCTTGCATCCGCTGGTTCACTCCCCCATGTGGCTGCAGTGGCCAGCGCTGGGCCAGGCCAAAGCCAGGAGCCTGGAGTCCACACGGGTGCAGGGGCCCAAGCACTTGGGTCATCTTGCTGCTGTCCCAGGCCATAGCAGGGAGCAGGATTGAAATGGAGCAGCTGGGACACTGTGGCAACCAAGTGGGACGCCGGCATTGCAGGCAGTGGCTTTACCTCCTGTGCCGAAACACCGGCCCTAGAGCTATCCTTTATTTGAAAGAATTACACAGAGAGAGGAGAGGCACAGAGAGGGAGGTCTCCTAGGTCTTCCATCCGGTGGTTCACTCCCCAGTTGACCACAATGGCAGGAGCTGCGCTGATCCGAAGCCAGGAGCCAGGAGCTTCTTCTGGGTCTCCCACGCTGGTGCAGGGCCCCAAGGCTTGGGCCATCTTCTACTGCTGCCTCAGGTAAAGAGCTGGTTCCAACGTGGAGCAGCCGGGACTTGAACTGGCATTCGTATAGGATGCTGGCACTGCAGGCAGTGGCTTTACCCACTATGCCACAGCACTGGCCCCAAGCTGAGTCTTTTTTTGAAGGGCACTATGGCATGGATGCCACAGGATTGGCAGCCAGAGGAAGGGAGCATGGGGGATGCCTCTGCCCTCCTCATTCCCCAGCCCCCAGACCCTTTTCTGTTCAGCTGGGCTGCTCAAACAGCTGTGGTGGGAGGGCTCTCTGTGCTCTGCCCCAACCCCCAGCCCTGCAGTGAGCCACCTGACCCCGCCCACTCCTTTTTTTTTTTTTTTTTTTTTTGACTGGCAGAGTGGACAGTGAGAGAGAGAGAGAGACAGAGAGAAAGGTCTTCCTTTGCCATTCGTTCACCCTCCAATGGCCGCCGTGGCCAGCGCGCTGCGGCCGGCGCACCGCGCTGATCTGATGGCAGGAGCCAGATGCTTCTCCTGGTCTCCCATGGGGTGCAGGGCCCAAGCACTTGGGCCATCCTCCACTGCACTCCCGGGCCACAGCAGAGAGCTGGCCTGGAAGAGGGGCAACCGGGACAGAATCCGGCACCCTGACTGGGACTAGAACCTGGTGTGCCGGCGCCGTAAGGTGGAGGATTAGCCTAGTGAGCCGCGGCTCCAGTCCATTTTTTTTTTTTTTTTTAAACAGGTAGAGTGGACAGTGAGAGAGAGAGAGAGACAGAAAGGTCTTCCTTTTGCCGTTGGTTCACCCTCCAATGGCCGCTGTGGCCAGTGCACCACACTGATCCGATGGCAGGAGCCAGGAGCCAGGTGCTTCTCCTGGTCTCCCATGGGGTGCAGGGCCCAAGCACTTGGGCCATCCTCCACTGCACTCCCAGGCCACAGCAGAGAGCTGGCCTGGAAGAGGGGCAACCGGGACAGAATCCGGTGCCCTTACCGGGACTAGAACCCGGTGTGCCAGTGCCGCAGGCGGAGGATTAGCCTAGTGAGCCGCGGCGCCGGCCCAGCCCACTCTTAACAAGCAGAGGCCACTGCTGCAATTTCAAGGCCAGCTCAAGGTGCCTCACAGAAGGGGCCAGACACGGGCCACCAACCCAGCCCTCCTGCACGCCTGCCCCACGCCCACAGAGAGGCCCCATCCATGCAGCTCCCAGGAAGACACGCGACACGGCGGCACACGCAGGGCCGAATGGTCCTTTTATTACGGCTCATTCAGTCACCACAGACGGACACGGTGGCTCAGGCAGGTCAACTGCCAGCTGGGGAATGGGCTGTGTCTCCCGGGGACAAGGAGACACACTGGGCACCAGGAGGATGCAGAAGAGGCCCCCGGCTGGCCGCAGACCCCAGGGTCCCTAGAGCTGGCCTGGGCCCTCCTCCACCCCAACCCCCCGCCCCCTCTCACACGAGGCCCTCCCCCAGGAAAGTGCAGAGTTGCCGCATCCCAGGGCCTGACCAAGCTGGGCTCATCCAGGTCACAGGCTCCCCAAGGGTTATGCCAGGGCGCGGCCACACAGGTCTCAGGCAGGGAGGACAGGACACTGACCACAGGCGGCACTGAGCAGGTCATGGATGTCAGGCTGGCGGCTGGAGCTCAGGCCAGGGAGCCACAGGCCCGGGCCGGGGGGAGGGAAGCGGAGGCGGGACCTAGTTGGTCGGAGGCTCCTTTCAGGTATCGGGGCGAGACAACTGCGCTCCAGAGAGGAAATGAAGCGGAGAGAGCCAGTTCTACTCCGCAGCCCAAGCCTGAGGCGGAGGACTTTCCCGAGTGCCTGAGGCTCCAAGCTCAGGGTGGCCTGGAGGCCCAGGTGTGGGCTCCAAGCTGCACCCTGCCCAGCGTGGCCGAGTGGGGTCTGGTTTTCCGGTCCACAGCGCCCGGGGGGCTTCTCTTGGGAGAAGGGAGGGTGGGAAAAGGGGCCGCTGCCCCCGGGGTCCCGGGGTCCCGGGGAAGGGCCCCCTCCCCTCCAGGTGACAGCACTGGGCCCCTGCCAGCCACCAGCACAGTGATCCCAGTGGACTCAGAGGCCTCAAGCCAGTCTCCTGGAAGGGGAGGGGCTCTGACAGGGAGGAAGGGCCAGGAGCCCAGCCCTGTGCGCAGAGGGGAGCCAGTGATCTCAAGCTGATTAAAAAAAAAAAAGAAGCCCTGAAGCCAAAGAGCCTCCCCTCCGCCCCTCCCCCCTGCGCCCCACCAGAAGTCCCACCCAGGCCCCGTGCTTGCCGCTGGGCTCAGCCTGTGCTTCCTCCCGGACCCTGAGTTCACGTGCCCACGAGCCAACCGGGCTGGGGCAGGCGGGCTCCCCTCGCCCTGGGCCCTGCGTGCCCGCGCCTCTGACCTCCTCTCCAGGCCTAGCCCCGAGCCCTGGCCCCCACCAGGCCCAAGCAGAACAGCCAGGTCACTCAGAGGCACCTAGAAGCCCCGGCAGGCTGCGGCCAGCCGGACCTCCCCAGGGGACCTACGGTTCGTCCATGCCTCAGCTCCAGCTGTGCCTCTGCACCTGACACCTGCCTACCACCACCCAGCCCCAGCGAGGCAGTGTGCGGGTGGGGGGAGACAGGACACAGCAGCTGCAGGGACGGGGGGAGACAGGGGGACATAGAGAGCGGAGCTCGAGGGGGCTTGGGGAGATGGGGGGGCAGAGAAGGGAAGAGAGGCCTCTCTCAGGGCCAAAGAGGCCGCCCCTGCGTTGGGCTCCCTGGGCTGGGCATGTCCAGCTGTGTGCCCCGCCTACACATGGCTCAGGCCCTGTCAGCTTCCTGGATGTGCAAATCAGATCATTTGGAGATCTGGGCTCAGTCTAAGGAGCAGAGACATCGGGGAGACAAAGGAAAGCCGCGTGGGGAGGGAAGACAGTGCAGGGGAGCCGCCAACAGGGGAGGGGACCCAGGGCAGGAGGATCCGGGAAGGGCCCCTGCCTGTCCCGCCGCCACCACCAGGAGCTGCGCCGTGAGATCCATGGTGGAGACGGTCAGCGCTGCGGTACAGGGCAGAGCGCGCCGGGCTCTCTGCGATGCCTCCCCGGCCCCACAAGGAGTCCCGGGGCCAGGGTCAGAGGGGGTGGCCAGGAGGAGGGTGGGGGGCTGGTTTAGTTCTAAACATACATCTAGCACCACGACAAGAGACCTCCACGGCACACTATTTCACAAGGAGACACGGACGCAGCTACCGCCGCCCGAGACAGCGCCCCTGCAGCACCCCCGGCTCGGGGGGCGGGGACAGACGCAGACGGGCACGGAGATACGTGGAGAGAGATATATATATATAACTCTGACTCTGTACAAAGAGGGAGGAGGAGGAGGAAAAGGAGGAGGAGGAGAGGGAAGGGGGAACCCTGCTTGGTCGCCACACGGACGCTGTGGCTTGAGCCCCCTGCCCCGCGGGCCGCAGCCGTGCGGCTCACATCTCGTTGGAGTACGTGTAGTTGGGGGTGGCGGGGTACTGAGTCTGCGGCTGGTTCATGGCCCCCTGGGCCGCCCCCATGGCTGCGTTCTGGGCGGCCTGCTGCACGTGCGGGTTCTTCCACGCCCCCGTGGTCCACTCCTCCTGGGCTTTGCTGAAGCTGCCCCCGCTGCCCCGGTAGAATTTATGAACCTGCAGGAGGAGGTGGTGTCCATCAGAGGCGAGGCCCGCCCTCCACGCGGTGCGTGCACCTGCAGGGCGGGGAGTTCCTGCAGCCCAATCCCGAGTGCACTGCTGGAGAGAAACCCCCTCCCCCGATCTGGGGGCTCGGGAGGGGGATGAGGGGTTGCTTTGGATAGAGGCCACTTCCCCAGGCCGCCTGCTGGCCCCGAACCACGTACCATGCTGAGGGCGATGAAGGAGAAGACCGCCACGGCCGTGAACATGACCGTGGGAATGAGCATCACCACCGCCGAGCCCACGTTCGTACCGAAGAAGGCGATGGTGGCGATCCAGCCGCTGGAGGAAGAGGCCGCCTGTGGGTGCACGGGCACGAGGGGGGGCCCCGGAGAAGAGCCCGCCCGGGGACTCAGGTGCCCGAGGCGCCAGCTCACTGGGCACCCCTGAGCCTTCCCAGGCTAACCCTAGTGCGAGGCGGTCCCTTGCCGCGTCCCAGCAGGGAGGCAGCCACGCGGCACTCCCCGCCCCCGCCCGCCCCGGCCTCTTACCAGACGCCCCAGCCGGGGATGCCCACGGCCTGGATGATGCTGATGACCAGCTGGGCCATGAAGGTGAAGAAGAACGCCATGAAGCTGAAGGAGCTGTCGGTCCTGCGGCACAGGGGACGCTCCTGTCACGTGGGCTCAGGCCGGGGCCGCCTGCCTTCAGGGCGCCCACTCCCTTCCCGGCTGAGGTGAGGGCACCATGGACACAAGACACCGAGAGGCCTCAGCCGGGAGGCCAGAACGGGACGGCGAGCATCTCTGGGTCTTTACAGCTGTGTGTGACGTGTGACATGTGACACAGGGGAGGGACCCCACTGGCACCAGGCCTGCCAGCTCCATGGGGATGGCCCACAGGCTCTAGAAGGAACACCCTGTGGGCACCAAGACAGCAGCTAAGCGGCACATGGCGGGGGGTCTGACTTCAGGCCCGTCAGCATGAGTATTCCACGGGCACCACGGCAGATGGTATGTGGATGGTCCCGTTGGCACAAAGATGGAAAGCCCATTTGGCACTAGGCACTCCTGGGAGTGAGACGCCCGGCTCCCTGGTAGACGGGATAGTGGGCCCTTGGGCATCAGCACCCACACAGCGTCAGGGGCACCTGGGTGCTGGTCCCCTTGGCACACGCACAGACAGTCATCCTGGCACCACCACCAGCACGGGGGGTCCCACAGGCAAAAGGTAACCGGCAGCTCCCTGGGGAAGGTGCGGGCAGAAAGCCACAGCAGGCCTGGTCCCTACGCTGCCCCAGCCAAGCAGAATGAGGCGAGGAAGTGAAGAGGAAGGTTCCGACTCCCAGGAAGCTCCAACTGGCAGCCTGCACCGCAGGTGAACGAGGGAAAGTGAGCCTAGGGGTGGCCAGAGAAGGAGCGGGGAGAGGAGATGCAGAGAAGAGAGCGGGGCAGTGAGTGGGCAGCCGCACGGCTAGGGCCCGGGGCCAGTGCCAACCACTTACTTGAAGGCCTTGTAAATGGGCCGAAACCAGCAGACGTAGGAGCAGGGTGTGAAGAGGATGAGCCAGAGAAAGGCGAGGCCAAAGTTGGTGGCTCCCCCGCCTCCGATCAGCCACGCGAGACAGCCCACCAGGTTCACGGCCAGTGTGACGCTGTTCACTGCAGACCCGGGATCGCAGGCACACACAGAGACAGACACAGACACCCAGGCCGTGCACACACGCCGACAGCACGGTGCAGACACGCCCAAGACCCACAACCCACACGGACAGACACACACAGAGGAAGCACAGACGGTAAGAAGGAAAGCTGGGGGCTCAGGCAACCCCCTCCTCACACCCTCTGCGGGGGAAGTCAGAGGCTGCAGCCCACGGCCCGGTGCTCTGCCCAGCGAGCTCCCTGCAAGGGCCCGAGGGCCTCACTCTGGTAGACACGCTCTTCATTTACTACCCAGAATGGCCACAGTCCCGGCCCTGCCACACACATCACCAACCCATCTGAGGCCCTCTCCTGCGAGGTGGGGACGGGAAAAGACATCGCTTCAAGACTGGGGCAGGCAGCAGTGTCTGGGATCTTAGTCTTTGTCTAATCTGTTTCTCAGACAACTCTCAAGCCACCTCTTCCAGGAAGCCTTCCTTCATACCGCACACAGCAGCCTCACTCTTCTCCCATCCCTCCGGCTCCTGCAGACTTGGGCTGGTCTCACAGTTCCCCCAAATACAAATCCCAGCCCATCAACCAGACTAGAGGCTCCCCCTCCTCTGTCCCCACACCAGCTAGCAGAATCTAGGAATCCCAGTGCCCCGAGTCACAGCCACGGGGCCTCAGTGCCTCCCCGCCTTACAGAGAGAAATATGGGTGGCACGGACGCTCTGACATCAGGACGCCCTGGCCTTGAACCCTGGGCTGGGTCGCAGCCCCCGACAGCCAGCTACTGTGGCCTTCCCAGCGGACCCTTGAACCTCCCAAGGGTTATGAGCATCTTTCTAGGAACCGACGCACCCGGCGGCGCCTACTGAGGGCTTAGGGAGATATTTATAGCCCTTAAGTCCAGCTCTTGGATGAGACCTTGCTGGGGCACAGTGCACGGAGCCCGGGGCGGGCAGAACGCTCCCCGAGTCTCAGGGCCCCTCATAAAGACGTGGGCGTCCCTCCCACCCCTACCCACTGATCCCACACAGCCTGCAGGCCGCCTCAGTGTTCTTGCCGACTGTATGTAGGAAAGAACTAAGCACTGAGCTACTGGTCAGCACCTCCCGCCCAGCCCCGCCTCTCTCCAGCCTGCTTGCTCTCCGCCTCTCTTCCGGTAGCCAGCAGCCTGTCCTCGCTGTGCGTCTCCTCGGCCAGCTCAGACTCCACACTTCCTCACCCCCACCCCACTGCCATGTGGACCCGTGGCCACCGTCACCCCGCATGGGCACCTCTCTCACCTGCGGCTGCAGCTGCAGCGCCCAGGGCCACAGGGCGCCCGGCAGGTAGCCTGGCTGGCTGTGAACTCAGGTGCAGCCTGTGTGGCCCCCAGGTCTCCAGGGCCAGGTTTCTCTGTCTCCCTCTGTGCACAAGCACACTCCCTTCTTCCGGGCCCCCCCGGCCCAAAGCTCCCACCTCTACGTCTTCCTCACAGCAGAGCCAGAAGCTACAGACCTGCCTCACCGCCCGCGGTCTGTCTGCCCCCTGCCCTCCTGGCCACGCCGTGCACGGCAGACCTGGTCAGCTCCTTCCTGGCGGTCGGCTCCCTGGGCAGTGCAGGCCCCAGCTGTGCTCATGCGGTGGCAGCCAGCCTGCCCTGCCCCCTCATGCCTACCAGGTGCCAGCCTACGTCCAGCCAAACCCCACCCCACCCCCGGAGGACACCACTCCCACCAACCTGCCACAAAGCGTCAGAAAGCGGGGGGCCTGCAACGCTGGCCCTCCAGACCTGAGCATGCTGGAGCCCGAGACTCGGGAGCCCCGCCATAGCCACAGCCATCACAGCGCCAGGGCCTCTGCCGCGGCGGGGGTGCCCGCCCAGACACCTCCCAATTCCCAGAACAGTGCTCTCTGAAGAATCTGAGAGGAGAGAAGGCTCCCCCAAGCCCAGAATCCTGGTCCTGGCATCACTAGACATTCCTGGGAAAGGCTTTCCAAGGGAAGGGAAAGAAATAAACACAGAGAGCACACTGCAGAGACCCTGCCCAGAAGCCGGGGGGGGGGGTGGCAGGTGGAGGAGAGGCCGAGAACGGGGGCCCTGAGGCCGAGACCGGAGCTGGCCCGTGAAAGGAGCTGCTGCTGGGAGCCAAGCAGAATGGCCCCCCAGGTCCATGCAGGTGCTGCAAGCAGGGCTGCGGCCCCTCCCCACCCCGTCCCCACCCCGGCACTCACGCATCCAGAGGTAGTAGAGCCGCTTGGTCATGTTGAGGTGCTGGGGGGGGATGTCCGCCTCGAAGTCTTGGTAGAAACAGGGCTTCAGCGGGATGAACTTGGGCAGCGGGGGGAAGTTGTTCACTTTCTCTGCGGATGAGCGAGGCACACGCGTGACATCACCGAGCACGCTCTCCGCCCCACAACCCGACACGCCCACCCTTTCCACGGCCACTGTGCAGTCCCCTCCCAGCGGCCCTGACTGCCCCAGGTCCTCCATCCTCGTCTTCCCTGGACTCCAAAGTCACCAAAGACCCCAAGACAGCGTCACTGGCAAGAATAAAAACTGATAAACGCTGTGCATCGGGGACAAGGCCCCCCACAACCAGGCACAGGGAGTGGGATGGGTGGGTCGGAGATGAGGGTCCCAGCCTCCACCCCACATTCATTCATTCATTCATTCATTCCAGCCACTGCTCCTTTCAGACCCCGGTTCATTCGGGGTGGGGGGAGCAGGGCTGGGACCCACGTCTATAACCTCTGAGCCCTACAAAGCCACAGGGAGAGATGGCAGATATCAGAATAAATACAAGGGTGGGGCTGGTGTGGTGGCATAGTGTATAAAGCCGCTGCCTGCAATGCCCGCATCCCATATGGGCGCCGGTTCGAGTCCTAGCTGCTCCACTCCTGATCCAGCTTCCTACTAATGGGCCTGAGAAAGCAGTAGAAGATGGCCCAGTTTTTGGGCCCCTGCACCCACGTGGGAGACCCGGAAGAGGCTCCTGGCTCCTGGCTTCAGATTGGCCCAGCTCTGGCCTTTGCAGCCATTTGGACAGTGAACCAGCAGATAAAAGACCTTTCCTTCTGTCTCTCCCTCTCCCTGTAACTCTACCCCTTGAATAAATAAAATCATTAAAAAAAAAAAAAAAAAAGAATTCAAGGGTGGCCAAGGGGAGTGCCTGGGGCAGCAGTGCTGCCACTCAGTCGGACGGACAGCAAGACAAGGACGGTGCAGCCCCCAGGCTCAGGGACCTGACAGAGGGCCACAGTGTCAGGCTGAGGTTCTCGGTCAGACTTCAGGGGGAGGGGGGCAGGGGATACCTGGGGACGAGAGGACAGAAAGAAAGACCCCAAGACCAAGGAGGAGAGGGGGTGAGGAAAAGGCCACCCACCCCCAGCACACTCTCGTGCCCATGCCCACCCCTCTCCTTACCGGCCATGATGGCACCTGCTGGCCCAGCAGCCTGCCCACGCCTTTTGTCTTGAACTGGAAGCAAACAAAGGCCAGAGAAGGATGAGGACCAGGGCTCTGTGCAACCCAGTCCCTCGGTCAGCCCCTGCTGGGCTGTGAGCTTCTTGGAGCGAGGACACACCCCCACGCGGGCGCAGCCCAGTGGAGACAGCACCTCACCTTGCATGGCCACGCCCACAGGACGACCCTCCTCTCCCGCCTGCCCCTTTAAGGGTGGCAAGGACACCTGGGAGGGGACCCCGAGAAAGGAGAGCTGAGTGACAGAAAAAGCCCAGGGGACCAGAGATGCGTGAAAGTGCTCTTCCTTCCTCCCCCAGGAACACAGGCTGCTCCGGCCTCCTGCCTCCGGCCTCCTGCCATTGGTTCACTCATGGGAACTCATGTCTGCCAGGCCTGGGCAGACAGCACGAGCAGGACCCAGGCGGTCCCTGCCCTTGCATGAAGCAGTCAACACCCTGCACGGCAAACCCCACCACGCAGGCAGGCACGGATGGGTCAAGGGGACCTGCCCTGTGCTGGGAATAAATCGCAGACTCTCGCACGAGGAAGCTGCCCCGTGGGCGGAGCAACGAGCGCCAACGGGCAGGGGGCAGACCCTTGCTCCCCCCAAGCACTGAGCCTGAAGCAAGGGCAGGAAGAGGTGTGGGCTCCGGGGAAGGCAGGAAGCTGCGTGAGGACCTGCAGGGCTGCGGCGCTGAGACACCTGGGGCCCCGTGCAGGCAGCAGCGCACACGGCCGGGGAACAAACGTGAAGCAGTCTTCCATGAATTAGGGTCAAGGCGCTGACACCTCACCAGAGTGACAGCTGTGGTGGACACGGGGGGACACGGGGTGGGGGGGACACAGAGGTAGGGGAGGGGCGAGCATTTGGCCTGGTGGTCCCACCTCGCGGTGCCTGCATTCGATACCCTACTCCAGCTCCTGACTCCAGCTTCCTGCTAATGCTCAGACTAGGAGGCCAGTGGTGATGGAGCCAGAGACTGGGTTCCTGAGTTCCAAGTCCCTGGTTCTGGCCCCATCCAGGGACTGTTCTGGGCATTTGGGGAGTGAACCAGCAAATGGCAGCTCCTCTCTGTCCATGCCTGTCTGTCTTTCTCCCTCTCAAAAATATTTGAACAATTATAACCTTTTATGTCCCTTTTGGATATGGAATACAGGTTTTTTTTTTTTGTTTGTTTGTGTGTTTGTTTGTTTTTTTTGTTTTTGTTTTTTTTTTTTGACGGGCAGAGTGGCCAGTGAGAGAGAGACAGAGAGAAAGGTCTTCCTTTGCCATTGGTTCACCCTCCAATGGCTGCCACGGCCGGCGCGCTGCAGCCTGCGCACCGTGCTGATCCAAAGCCAGGAGCCAGGTGCTTCTCCTGGTCTCCCATGGGGTGCAGGGCCCAAGCACCTGGGCCATCCTCCACTGCACTCCCTGGCCACAGCAGACTGGCCTGGAAGAGGGGCAGCTGGGACAGAATCCGGTGCCCCGACCGGGACTAGAACCCAGTGTGCCGGCCCGCAAGGCGGAGGATTAGCCTAGTGAGCCACGGCACCGGCCATGGAATACAGATTTTAAAAAAAACTAAACCAATAATATTGACCACAAAAAGAAAACAGATGGGGTAGAGACATTTGTGAAATGGTATCCATTTCGGGCCGGCAGTGCCAGCATCCCATATGGATGCAGGTTTCTGTCCCGGCTGCTCCTCTTCTGATCCTGCTCTCTGCCATGACCTGGGAAAGCAGTAGAAGATGGCCAAAGTCCTTGGGCCCCTGCACCCATGTGGGAGACCTGGAAGAAGCTCCTGGCTCCTGGCTTCGGATCAGCTCAGCTCTAGCCGTTGTAGCCATCTCTCTCTCTCTCTCTCTCTCTCTCTCTCTCTCTCTGTATGTGTGTGTGTGTGTGTCTGTATTTCTGCCTCTCAAATAAATAAATAAATCTTAAAAAAAAAAAAAACACATATGGCTGGGCCTAAGCCAGGACAAGGAAACACAAGGTTAGTCCGCAGCGTCCCACAGCTCCACAAACTAGGAAGGAATTAACAAGGGCGTGATGAAGGCCGCAGCTGCCAGAGTGAAGGGGCGGCCACCAGCTGAGCCTGGGACAAGCAGAGCATCAGATAACAACAGCAATGAGCCGGCACCACGGCTCACTAGGCTAATCCTCCACCTTGCGGCACCGGCACACCGGGTTCTAGTCCCGGTCGGGGCGCCGGATTCTGTCCCGGTTGCCCCTCTTCCAGGCCAGCTCTCTGCTATGGCCAGGGAGTGCAGTGGAGGATGGCCCAGGTGCTTGGGCCCTGCACCCCATGGGAGACCAGGAAAAGCACCTGGATCCTGGCTCCTGCCATCGGATCAGCGCGGTGCGCCGGCTGCAGCGGCGGCCATTGGAGGGTGAACTAACGGCAAAGGAAGACCTTTCCCTCTCTGTCTCTCTCTCTCACTGTCCACTCTGCCTGTCAAAAAAAAAAAAAAAAAAAAAAGATAACAGCAATGTATTATAGCACACGAATTTATTTTTAGAGGCAGGGGGTAATGGGAGGGACAGACTTCCTTCTGCTGGTTCACTCCCCAAAAGCCAGCAATGGCCAGGACTGGGTCGGGAGCTGGAAACTCAATCGGGTTCAAGGAACTAAGAAAACGGCAGTTTTATCTATGGCGCAATCCACACCCTGACACCATCCGAGGCTCTGGCCTCCGCCGCCACTGCTGGAAGCCAGGTGGCCACATGGCCCAACCTCTGTTGTCACACTCCACCCCCATCCTAATGGAATTCACTATTCCTATTTCCCTGCCCCCCCAAAAGGGATATTAGACCCGCTTCCCACACATGCGCTCTCTCTTTTTACACATGGCTCTCTCTCACTCTTCTCTGCGCTCTCTGCTCTCTCCTGCTTGCTCTCTCTTCTCTCGTCTCTCTCTTCTCTCCTCGCTAGCTCCTCTCCTCTCTCTCTCTCTCTCATATACTATCCTCTCCCTTTTTCCCTCTTCACCCCTTCCCTCCGGTCTGCTGGACTTTCCCCAGTACACCCTTTCCCTTACTCTGGCGTTTGGTGTGTTTTGTGACGGCCAACACTGACAACGTGCACCCTCACAACTGCATTAGCCAGGGGCCAGGCCTGGAACCCAGGCACCCTGACGTGGAACATGGACATCTCACCCGGCCTTGTAACTGTCGGGCTGAATACTAGTCCCTAACATACTAGGGTGACAAAAGGGGCTGGCGCTGTGGCATAGTAGGTTAACACCCTGGCCTGAAGCGCTGGCATCCCATATGGGCGCCAGTTCGAGACCCAGCTGCTCCACTTCCAATCTAGCTCTCTGCTGTGGCCTGGGAAAGCAGTAGAAGATGGTTCAAGTGCTTAGGGCCCTGCACCCACGTGGGACACCCAGAAGAAAATCCTGGCTCCTGGCTTCAGATCGGCACAGCTTCAGTGGTTGCGGCCATCTGGGGAGTGAACCATCAGATGGAAGACCTTTCTCTGTCTGTCTGTCTCTCTCTCTCTCTCTCTCTCTCTCTCTGCCTTTCCTTCTCTCTCTGTATAACTCTGACTTTCAAATAAATAAATAAAATATTTTAAAAAGAAAAAAGTAAACAAAAACCCATGAGACCAAAGTGGCAGGATTATTTTAGAGAGGGAGAAGGACAGGAGCACTGTCCATAAATGCAGGAGCTGCAGACTCGGGAAGTGCCCCGGCCTTGGGGCCGGCGTCGTGGTGCAGGGGGTTAAGCCACCACTTGCAATCCAGCATCCCACATCAGAATGCCAAGTGAGTCCCGGCTGCTCCACTTCCGATCCAGCTCCCTGCTAACACGCCTGCAAAAGCAGCAGAAAACAGCCCAAGTGCTTGGGCCCCTGCACCCAGGTGGGAGGCCCTAATGAAGCCCCTGGCTTTTCTGTGCCATTTGGGGGGTGAACCAGCAGATAGAAGACATGTCTCTTTCTCCTTCTCCATTGCTCCCTCCATCACTCTTTCAAATAAGTAAGTAAATCTTAAAAACAACAGAGTAAGTTTTGCTTTGCCATCAACATCGGAGAGCTGACTGAGACAAGGCCCATCACTGCTGCCACAGCACTGGGGCAAGGTTGGGAGGAGGGAGTCACACAGCCCGAGTGTCACCCTCAGAAACTTAGTACTCACAACAGAGAAAGGAACTTGTACAGCGAGAGCCCGGGGCAGGCCAACTGGATCAAGCTCAGCATTTCTGATAACAGGACCGGGCAAGGGGACGGTATGTGCTTCCCAATGGCGGGAGGGAAGCAGGAGGGATCCCCTGTGCAACACTGTTGTCAGAGAAGTTCCAGCTGAGAAAACAAGGCGACCCTTCACAAGACAAAGACTAATGTCCCGAAACACAAAAACCGATGGGGGTGGGGTGGCCGTTGGGTGCAACCGATAGATCACTGATTCGCTTACAGTCCACATCAGAGTGCCCGGGTTCCAGTCCCAGGCCCACTTCTGATCTGGCTTCCCGCTCACGTGCACGCTGGGAGGCAGCAGGTAAAGACTCACGTACGGGGCCCCTGCCTCCTGCAGGGAAGACCTGGACTGAGTGCTTGGCTCCTGCGTTTTGCTTGGTCTAGCCTAGGCTATTGTAAGCATTGGAGGAGTGAAATAACAGAAGCTCTCTCTCTCTCTCTCTGCTTATCAATATATATATATATGTATACATAATTTTTTAAACATCGGAACTTAAAAATTAATAGTGGAACTCATCTGGATTAAAGCAGACTAGCAACAGGCATTGTGCTACAGCGGGCTAAGCGACCAGGATCCTGTATCAGAACACGAGTTTGAGTCCTTGTTGTCTGCTGCCAATCCAGCCTCCTGCCAATGCACCTGGGAAGGCCACAGAGAACTTGGGCCCCTGCCACCCACAGGGAGACCAGGATGGAGTTCCAGGCTCCTGGTTTGGGACTGGCTCAGCTCTGGCTGTTACAGCCATCCAGGGAGTGAACCAGCAGATGGAAGGCAGGTCTCAACTGCCCTCTCCTTCCCTCCCCACCCCCACTTCAAAGTAAAAATTTAAAGCTCGCTATTTTAAAATAATAACAAAATAAACTAAAGGAGACTAAAGACACTAGCAACCAAATACAACGGGCAATCCTTTAAAGTGGATCCAGGGGGCCAGTAAAATGGTGCAGTGGGTAAAGCCGCCGCCTGCAGTGCCAGCATCCTATATGGGCACCAGTTCAAGTCCCAGCTGCTCCACTTCAGATCCAGCTCCCTGCTAACGCACCTGGGAAAGCAGCAGAGGACAGTCCAAGTCCTTGGGCCCCTGCGTCCACGTGGGAGACCCAAATGAAGCTCCTGGCTTTGGCCTGGCCCAGTCCCAGCTGTTGCAGTCATTTGGGGGAGTGAACCAGCAGATGAAAGATAGTTCTCTCTGTCTCTCCTTATCTCTAACTCTGCCTTTCAACACATAAATCTTTTTAAAAATAAAAAAGAATGCTTTTAGGACACCTAGAGACATTTCCACATAGACGTCATAGCATCACTCTGGGCGTCACTAGCGGCGTCGTCATCCACGTGAGCTTCCTGCTGTGTATGGAAATGCCTAGTTCTTAGGAGGCACAAGCTAAAGCACCCGGAAGCCAGGCGCCTGCTCTGCAACTTACTTTCAGATGGGCGCAACAAAGCTGCCCTGTACATAAAGCAAAATGTTGCAAAATGGTAACGGATGGATCTGCAGGAAGAGTACACACGTGTTCAGGACACCATGCTTCCAGCTTTATCCTAGCTTTGAAAATGTTCAAAATAAAGTTGAGGGAAAACAGACATCTTTGTTTTTGGTAACAGGTGCACAAGGGACCTTTGGGAGGGAACCGAGCACAAACAGCTGTGGGAGAGCTGGCATTGCGGTGGAGCAGTAAAGCTGCCGCCTGCGGTGCCAGTGTCCCCCGTGGGCACCAGTTCCAGTCCTGGCTGCTCTACTTCCTATCCAGTTCCCTGTTAATACCTGGAAAAAGCAGCGGGAGAAAGCCCAAGTGCTTGGGCACCTACTACCTATTTGGGAAACCTAGAAGAAGGTCCTGGCTCCTGGCTTCAACTGGCCCAGCTCCAGCCATTACGGCCATTAGGGGTGAACCAATCAAACTCTGCCTTTCAAATAAATAAATAATTTTTTTTTTTTTTAAAAAGAACAGCTGTGGGGCCGGTGCTGTGGCGCAGCAGGTTAAAGCCTTGGCCTGAGGTGCTGGCATCCATATGGGTGCTGATTCTAGTCCCAGCTGCCCCACTTCTGATCCAGCTCTCTGCTATGGCCTGGGAAAGCAGTGGAGGATGGCCCAAGGCCTTGGGCCCCTGTACCCATGTGGGAGACCCGGAAGAAGCTCCTGGCTCCTGGCTTCGGATCGGTGCAGCTCCGGCTGTTGTGGCCATCTGGGGAGTGGACCAGCGGATGGAAGACCTCTTTGTCTGTCTCTACCTCTCTCTGTAACTCTTTCAAATAGATAAAATAAATATTAAGAGAGAGAGAGAGAGAGAGAGAGAGAGAGAGAGAAACAGCTGTGGCTCCTACAGCAGGAGGTGTGAAGTGGGAGGGAGGCAGGATTTTGACTGTGCGCCTTCATGCCATGTTCCCATGACCCAAGACACCGTCCATTCTAAGCCAGATCATTATTTAATTGATAAAAGATAAAACACTGCCAACCTGTGGGGCACCTGAAGTTGTGATACACAGACATTAAAATGTCTTCAGAAATACTAAAACGTTCATTTTAGAATCAACGAAATCTGGGACATCCGCAGAATTACGAATCATGTAAATATACTTACCTGTTTAAAAAAAAAAATAGGCAGAAGAGGGGCAGCTGGAAAAGAATGAAAAGGAGCGGTGACAAGGTGGGAGGGAAGCCCGGAGAGCGTGGAGTCGCCAGAGCCAGCTCAGAGGGGACAGATGGGACAGATGCCACAGAGCCCCTCCGTGAAAAGGCCAGAGCCGGCGGCCCAAGGGCTTGGGCCCCCGCACCCACATGTGAGACCAGGAAGAAGCTCCTGGCTCCTGGCTTTGGCCTGGCCCAGCCCCGGCTGTTGCAGCCATCTGGAGAGTAAACCAGCAGATGGAAGATCTCACTGTGTAACTCTGCCTTTCAAACAAATAAATAAATCTTTAAAAAATAAAAATAAAAAAACAGAAAGAAAAGGCCGGGGATGAGCAGCAGCAAATCAGTGGCAACCCCAGCAGGAAGCATTTGGTAGTGGGAGCAGCAGCCAAATTAGAATAAGCTGGATACGGGCAGGCGCCACGGCTCACTAGGCTAATCCTCCGCCTTCGGTGCAGGCAGCCCGGGTTCGGTTCTAGTCCCGGTTGCTCCTCTTCCAGGCCAGCTCTCTGCTGTGGCCCGGGAAGGCAGTGGAGGATGGCCCAAGTGCTTGGGCCCTGCACCCGCATGGGAGACCAGGAGAAGCACCTGGCTCCTGGCTTTGGATCAGCCCAGCTCCAGCCATTGCAGCCATTTGGGGAGTGAACCAGCAGATGGAAGACCTCTCTCTCTCTCTGCCTCTGCCTCTCTGTAACTCTGCCTTCAAAATAAATAAATAAATCTTTAAAAAAAAAAAAAGAGGAGCTTTAAATCCTGGCTCCTCAATCTGGCTTCCTCCTAAAGTGCACCCTGGGAAACACCAGTGATGGCTCAAGTACTGTGTCAGGGCCCAGAGGGTCTCAACAGACTCCTAACTCTGGCTCCAGCCTGATCCATCCCTGGACCCAGCCTGCTCCCCGAAGGCATGTCCAGAGATCCAGAAAAGTCCGTGCAGGGGTGTGTGGGGGATTCAGAGCAGGAGAAGCCAGGCGGGAAGTCGCCTCCCTGCATATCCAGGTGGGGGCAGAGTGAACCCAGGGAGGGCTGTAAGGGGCGGGGTTAGCCGCAATTTGCTGCACACTGAGACTCTTTCATAGTGTGGGGGGTATCTCCCCCACAGACTTAGGGAGACATCTCCTCTGTTAGGAGTAAGACCCCTGCACTCTGTGCAAGACACCCACTCCCAATTTATTCATCTGCAGCGTGAAGGCAGGAGGCCCGAGGCTCCCACAGTGGGGAGAGCGAGGGCCGCCGCAGACAGAAGGGAGTTGAGCCTGGCCTCAGACCCGGCCGGGGACCTGGGGCCGGTGCCAGGCCTGCCTGCTCCCCAGCCTGTGTCTCCGCTCTCCTCCCGGGCACAGAAATGGGCATTTCCGGTCTGCTGGTCCCTTGCCCCACTGCAGCCCCACCTCCAGCCCTGAAGTCCCAGAACTATGAATCACCCTCAGAAGACAGCAGTGTCCTGGCCATGCTACCACCTTCCTGCTGATGACTCCTCAGCCTCCCACGGGTTCCAGGCTTCCTGCCAGCAGGCCAGGAAGCTCCCTCTACTTCCCACCCCCACGGCTTCCTGCGCCCCTAAACCAGGAGCCCTGTCAGCCCCTCTATGCCCCACCACGCCCTCACATCCCACTGCATACATTCTGACCAGTTACCCAGCACCAAGTGCTCCCTCATCAGAATCCGACCCCTTCCTCGGTCCCTAAGGAGAATGGTCGGGGTGGGGGGGTCCAGGAGGGGCCTGGCAATCTCTATGCTGCCTTTTGACTTCGATGCCCTTCCGGTGGGTGGAAGTGGGACATCGGATTTCCTGCCCCATCCGGCTAAGCCTTCAGCGTCCGGCGACCCTGCTGAGTCCACTTCCTCCAGCAAACTTGCAGGCTCCAGGCTGGCAGCCGGGAAGGCAGGGCAGCCCGGGAGGAAACGCAGAGGGGAGGGAGAAGAGGGGAGGGCTGAGGAGCCTCTAACCGGATCAAGGGAGGCGGCGCAGCTCAGCCGGACCACTCCCTCCCTGGAGGAGGAGACTCCCGCCCAGAGGGCAGTCACCTGGCTGAGAGGCGGCAGCCAGGGAAAAGGTTAGGAGCGACACCCCCCGGGCTGAGGGCCCTCCAGAGCCTGCGGCCCTCTCTCAGCTCTCACCGCGCCCGGAAGGAATCAAAGCCAGCAACCTCTGCGCGGCCCCTCGCGCCCGCCCAGCCCAGCCCAGCCCTTCCCGAACCCCGCGCTGCAAAATCCCGCAGCCCACCGGCCCCTCCCTGGAAACCCTACGGCCTCTGCTCGGCCTCCCTTTCTCTCCAGGGTCCCGCCATGGCCCCTTGGGGAGGGGGACGCGGCCGCTCGAACCCGCCGGGGAAGGCGGACGCTCGGCTCCCAGCCCGGGGACAGGGCCGCCCCCAGGCCAAGGCACCCTCCTCCCGCAGCAGGGGGTCGCCAGGGCCGGGTGCACCTGCAGGCGCCCGGGGTGGACGCCAGCTGCGGGGGTGCAGCTGCACCTGCCGGCGGCCGCCCCCATCCCAGCCGGGCCCCTGGCTGCAGCTCCGGATCCCGGTCTGACGTCACCCCGCGGGGGAGCAGGGGGAGAGGCGGGGGCCGGGGGGCGCCGAGCGCCCTTCCCCCCGCCCGAACAGGGAAGGTCACCCCGGCTCCAGAGGTGCGGCATCGCGGGGAGAGGCTGCAGCCTCAGGCTCCCGCTCGCCCCCCGGGCCCGGCACTCACCTGCCGCGACCACCCGGCTGCGGAGAGGCCGCCGCGCTGCGCAGCGAGGCACAGAGGATGCGGCGCGGGGCCGGCCTCGAGCCGCTCCGGGGCGGGGCGGAGCGGGGCGGGAGCGCGCGCCCAGGGCTGGCCTCGCGTGCGCGCGCGCGCGCGCCCGGGCCCCCGCAGCGGCAGCAGCCGCTCTCGCGAGACTCCCGCTCCGCTCCTGGGTCCGATGCCTGCGTTCGCGAGAGCCTGCGGCGCGGCAGCCCCCCGCGGCCGGGGGCGGGAGCTGTCCGCGGTGCTGGTTCTCGGGCCCGGGCGGACCGGACGCCGGAACGGAGTCGAGTGCGGTCTGGCCCCAGCTTGCAAATGTGCAAACTGGGGAGAATCAGATCCCAGGCCGGGCCGGGGGCCTCCGCGACCTGCCAGTAAAAAAATTAAAAACTGGAATGGGCATTTGGCGCAGCGCCCTGCAGCCCATAGTCCCGGCTCCTGGCTTCGACCTGGCCAGCCCTGGCTGTTGTGGGCATTTGGGCGGTGAACCCAAATCTCTCTGTCTGTCTGCCTTTCAAACAAAAGGAAAGAGAGAACCCAGGCTGAATGTTTAAAATTGCAGAACTTTGGAGGGTTGAGCGGGGACAGGGGCTGGGGGCAGAAGGCGGGCTTTCACTGTGAGTGGCGGTCACTCAGCAGCCCCCTCTGTGGCATCTCCACCCTGGGCACTGCCCCTACCTCCCACCCCCACCCGCGCCATCCTGGCCTGAAAGGGGGCCGTAGAGGGGTGGGAGACACTGCAGAGATTCTTTGCCCAGAACAGGGGCCCATTGTCTGGCTCCAGCCGGCCAGGAGTGGGGCCTCACTCCCACAGCTGGGATGAAAAGGGGGAGGGCGTGGAAAACAGCAGTGGAGGACGAGGGCGGGAGAGGGAAGGAGGGAGGCACCCCGGGGCGGGGAAAGGGCCCAGCAGGAAGTAATTCGCGGCCACCCGGCAGACCAGGAAGCAAGCGTCCTGGGTTACGGGCAGGGCCACCAGGGCCACTGCTGCTCCTGTCCCTGGCTACCCCACGGTGACCGTGCCGGGACGCAAGCCTAGGCCAAGCCACAGAGCAGGGGCCGGCGAGTGACAAATGGAGCCTCCAGAGGTTTGTGAAGTGTGGCCCCTATGGGAGAGGGGTGGGGAGTCCATGTGGACCTCAGGACAGGGTCTGAGGGGCCCATGCTGTGGTCTACAGGGGAGAGATACGGGGTCCGCATGCGGGGTTTACAGGAGACATCTTGGAGTTCACGTGGGTCCTGCAGGGAGGTGTTGGGGTTCCCCTCTGATGGCAATCTGGAAAGTCAGAAAATCCTACTTGGTAAACAGCAGAACCAGGAAGAGCGTCGGGAAGCCTGGGTTTGTCCTAGGGGGTCACACCTCCTGCATTTAGGCAAAGGACGAGAACAATGCTATCGGTAGGGAAAATCACTTAAGCTTTCAAGGCATTTGCTGACAGCCTGCCACGGCCTGGCCACAGCCGGCAGAACGCTGTGGTTAGGGAACGCACTGACCGCGGACGCCCGCCCCTTCCCGGCAGGGTGGGTGTGAGCAGGGTGCTCATCCTCACTGAATCTGTTTTTCACATGCGCAGAGTAGGGATGATGCGCCTCACGTCTCGTGTCTCGTGGGCTCTGAAGTGAATTAACACATGTAACACACAGGACGGTGCCTGGGACACAGAACGTGTTTAGTGAGTGCTCGCTCACCCACGTCCTCCCTGGGGACACGTCCCTCTGACGCAGGGCAGCAGTGGGAGAGCCTGAGCCAATCCCAAGCTGCTTCTCAGAGTGGGGGTCTCACACCCCTGCTCTTGCAAAGCTAAAAAAGGCTCCCCCTACAGGACGCCCGGGGCGTGGTCACATGACAGCAGGCAGCGCGTCCCTGGGAGTGGTAATGCAACCGCAGGCCCGTGATGCGGCTCCGGGCTGCCTGTCTTTTCCTGCCCACCGACGCTGAGTGAGGCACGTCCGTGCAGGGGTGTCCAGGAGAACAGATGTGTGCGCAGCCAGCAGACAACCGAGACAACGACCAGCAGTAGCCCTGAACCTGTGAATGCCAGGGTGAGATGCTCAGTCCTGGGATATCCTGTCGCATAAATGCTGTTGCCCCCGTTTTATAAATGAGGCAAGTGAGGTGCCCAGAGCTAACGGGATCCGATCTGCCCCAGGAAATAGAACGGGTGCATCGATCGCCGGCTGTCCCCAGAGGTCGACTCAGAGATGGGGACCAGAGCACAAATGGTCACTTTGAGAGAGTCCCAGGAAGCACCTGTAGAGAAGTAGCAAAAGTGAAACGAAGGAAGAAAGGACCAAGATAGGGTGCAGTGGTGAGCAGGGCACACTGTGGGCAGCCGGGGCTTGATCCTACTGGGCGCCTGTGGGCACTGCAGAGCACAACGCAGGCACGCATTGCTGGAGGGGAGAGTGGAGGGCTGCTCCTGGCACTGCCGGCCTGCCCCGTGTGCTTTCTGAGGCAAAACTCCCGGGACCTGATACTACAGAGCCGTCAGGAGGGGCTGCAGGCTCCTGGAAGCAGCCAGGGCTGCATGGCTCCGGAGCCACATCACGCTGCCCCGAGATAACCCTGCAATCGCCTGGGCCCTTAGTCCTGCAGAAGGTTGCTGTACAAGTCTCCTTTCTTAGACAAGAGCTTCCTGTGCCCCTGAACCCCTCAGCACTCCTAGTCTGGAGACATGTATGTGACATGTATGTGACATGTATGTGACATGTCCCCTGCTGCACAGGAGCAAGGACACAGTGGCACCCTCTTGACTGCAGAGCCATGGAAATGAGGTCGGCTCTTCCAGCTTCCCAGGGGAGCTCACCCGAGACCTCCCTGTGTAAATCGCCTCCACCCTGCGCCACACCACCCGGCCCTGCTTGTCTTCTCTCCCTACGAGGCAATGTGTGGAAGTACTCACTGATCATCCAGCCGATTAGAGGGTTGCATCGAAAACATGTGACGGGCTCTTCCAACTCAATCACAAGGACAAGAAACCCACCTAAAACTGGGCAACGCGAAGCTGGTGCTGTGTCACGGCAGGTTAAGCTGCCACGTCCCATGTCAGGCACCAGTTAGCATCCAGCTCCCTGCTAATGCGCCTGGGAAAGCAGCAGAAGGTGAGCCGAGTAACTGGGTCCCTGCCACTCATATAGGAGACCCGGATGGAGTTCTGGGCTCCTGCCTTCAGCCTGGCCCAGCCCTGGTCATTGTGGCCATGTGGGAAGTGATCCAGCAGATGGAATACCTTTCTCTCTTTGCCTTTCAGATAAATAAAATAAATTGCCTAGATCAATTTAAAAAACTGGGCAAGGCATCTGAATAGGAATTTCTCCAGGGAAGGTGTACAAATGGCCAAAATCCCATGAGACCGTGATCAGTCCTCAGGGTGAGATACCATTTCCCACCACTAGAGGGCTCTGAGCGACAAGACGGCACACTGCTGGTGGGAGTAAAATGGTACAGTCGTCTCCCAAAAATTCAAACTGAGCGACCGTTCGACCTAGCAACTGCACTCCCAGACACGTCCAAGAGGAACGAGAACACTCACAAAGAGACCAAGAGTACGAGCTGCAACTTTATTGAGGGTGGCGGGAGCTGCAGGCAGCCCTGCACCAGGGAGCGCGCACCCGCACAGAGCGACGCGACTCAGCGGAAGTGAGTGAGGAGCACCGTCAGCAGAACGCGTGAATCTCAGATCACTGTGCTGAGCCCGGGCGGCTCTCCTGTCGGCGTAATTCCAAGCCGAGTAGTTCAAGAACAGGAAACTGAGGGACAGAGTCACTGGCTGGGACCGAGAGGACGTGTCTGCCGTGACAGGTGATCCTAGACCTTGTTTGGGTGGAGGTGACACCGTGTAAAAATTGTCAAAATTCATATGAAGCCGGCGCCGCGGCTCACTAGGCTAATCCTCCGCCTTACGGCGCCAGCACACTGGGTTCTAGTCCCGGTCGGGGCGCCGGATTCTGTCCCAGTTGCCCCTCTTCCAGGCCAGCTCTCTGCTGTGGCCAGGGAGTGCAGTGGAGGATGGCCCAAGTGCTTGGGCCCTGCACCCCATGGGAGACCAGGAGAAACACCTGGCTCCTGGCTCCTGCCATCGGATCAGCGCGGTGCGCCGGCCGCAGCGCGCCGGCCGCGGCGGCCATTGGAGGGTGAACCAACGGCAAAGGAAGACCTTTCTCTCTGTCTCTCTCTCTCTCACTGTCCACTCTGCCTGTCAAAAAAAAATTTTTTTTATTTTTTAAAAAAGATTAAAATATGTACCATTTATCCTGTGTGAGCTATTGCTCAGCAAAGTACTGGTATCATTTTAATGTTAAATTTTCGCTTTTTTAAAGATTTATTTTACTTATTTGAAAGGCACAGAGAGAGAGAGAGAGAGAGAGAGAGAGAGAGAAAGGTCTTCCATCCGTTGGTTCACTCCCCAAACAGCCAAAACGGCCAGGGCTGGCCCATGCTGGAGCCAGGAGCTTCTTCCTGGTCTCCTACATGGGTGCGGGGGCCCAAGCACTTGGGTCATCTTCCACTGCTTTCCCAGGTGCAGTAACAGGGAGCTGGATTGGAAAAGGAGTGACCAGAACTGAAACCAGCACCCATATGGGATGCTGGTGCCACAGGCAGCGGCTTAACCCACTAAACTACAAGGCTGGTCCCCTGATATCACTTTTTCTTTTTCTTTTCTTTTCTTTCTTTTTTAAAATTTATTTGGCAGGTAGAGTTATAGACAGTGAGAGAGAGAGAAATATCTTCCTTCCGTTGGTTCACCCCCCAAATGGCTGCTACGGCCAGAGCTACGCAGATCCGAAGCCAGGAGCCAGGTGCTTCCTCCTGGTCTCCCATGTGGGTACAGGGCCCAAGCACCTGGACCATCCTCCACTGCACTCCCGGGCCACAGCAGAGAGCTGGACTGGAAGAGGAGCAACCGGGACTAGAACCCAGCACCCATATGGGATGCTGGTGCTGCAGGCAGAGGATTAACCAAGTGGGCCACGGCACCGGCCCCCGATATCATTTTTTAAAATGGGGTCCCTGGGTGGCTTGAGTCTAGGGAACAAGTCACCAACCCCAACCTGGCTCTACCATGGTCTCCCCTCACTGCTCCCCTTCCACGGGCAGTACCACCTGGGCACCCACGCGCCCAGCCAGACACTTCAGCGGTTATCTGCCCACACACGGCAGGAGAGCTGAGCGCTGGGCAGCCTGCTGGCCTCCACGCAAGCCAGCTTCATAGTCACCACGCAGCTTAGCCAACAGCTCCGAGCATGGAATCGGGAACACAGCCCACTGCACACTCACTGAGTTAGAACAGGGAGAGTGCAGCCAGGACCGCCCAGGCAAGCTTCTCCTGCCAACTGCCTGGAAAAATGTCCTCCACGAGTCCTAGCCTGGCCCTGGCACGGGCGAGCGCCAGCCGAGCCCCTCGGTGCCGATCCACAGCCGTCACCTGCCCGACCTGCTGGGCATGTGACAAAGCAGTGTCGCTTTTATCCCCAGTCTCGCCTCCTCCGCCCTGCAACCTCGCCCCGTGGGCCCTCCGCTGAGCTGCGGGGCCCTCCCAGAGCTCTGTGCCTGCTCCAGCCCACCCTTCCTCCCCTGCGCCTCAACACCACCCCAAGGCCAGCCACAGGGCACGGAGCTCCTGGCTGAGAGGCGGGTTGGTAAATGTTTAACCGCCGGCTCTTCAGGGGGAAAGGGCACTGTTTATATCAAATATGCACACACAGAAATTGTACTGATATAAAGGCCGTGCAACACATGACTGACGCATAGAACAGTTTTGTTAGTTCTGCTGAACTCTCGCAACTGTTGCCAGCCTAAGGGTGCGGCCTATCTTCTCCGTTTACTAGTTTCTATATATTTTTTTTTGACAGGCAGAGTGGACAGTGAGAGAGAGAGACAGAGAGAAAGGTCTTCCTTTGCCGTTGGTTCACCCTCCAATGGCCGCCGCGGCCGGCGCGCTGTGGCCGGCGCACCGCGCTGATCTGATGGCAGGAGCCAGGAGCCAGGTGCTTTTCCTGGTCTCCCATGGGGTGCAGGGCCCAAGCACTTGGGCCATCCTCCACTGCACTCCCTGGCCACAGCAGGGAGCTGGCCTGGAAGAGGGGCAACCGGGACAGAATCCGGCGCCCCGACCGGGACTAGAACCCGGTGTGCCGGCGCCGCTAGGCGGAGGATTAGCCTAGTGAGCCGCGGCGCCGGCCTTAAGGTTGTGTTTGACGGATGAGTTTTGGTGATTTACAAGACAATAAGTCAGGCTCTGTGCTTGTCATGTTTGCTAATTTCCATGGTGTAAATAATTCCCCTTCAGCTAATTTCGAGCTCACAGTTGACGCCATGGAAGGCAGAGCTGTGCAGAGGCGCCACAGCACGCCATTACATGAGGCTCTTTGAAATATTAATGGAAAGCATGTATTATTAAAAAAAAACTATGCATGGGTTTGATTTTTTAATATTTTTATTTATTTGACAGGCAGAGAGACAGAGGATTCCCCCTATATGATTCCCACTGACTGGTTCTCTCCCCAGTGCCCACAATGGCCAGGACCAGAGCCAACAGTGGGGGACTCCAGCCAGGTCTCCCCCAACACCTGAGCCGTCGCTGCTGCCTCCCGGGTCTGCATCTGCAGGAAGCTGGAGTCAGCAGCCGGAGCCGGGCTTTGAACCCAGGTCCTCCCATGCGGCACGCAGGAGTCGCCACAGGCGTCTGAGCCCCCGGGCTACACTCTCGCTTCTTCTTGGAGTCTTTGATGTGATCCCAAGGCTTTTCCTTGGAGGATGGGTCTGCCGACTGGAATTCCACGAGCATTCTCTTGGGAAAACGCCTAGGACAACCGTCTAGACTCCCAGGTCCTGTGAAGGGGGCGAGAGCCTTGGGACACTTGCAAAGCTGCCCCACCCCACCTTCCACAGTGATCTCCCCAGGCATACTCAGACAGTTTCATTTACGTTTTAATTGTGGCTAAAAACACATCCCACAGTTTCCCAGGCGAGCCGCTCGGTAGTGCTCAGTATACCCACGCGGCTGAGCAACAGATTCCAGACTTTTCTACGCTGCAAAACTGAAACTCTGCACCCGTTACCCAGCAACTCCCCCCCACACACCCCCCCCAACACCATCTGTTTTCTGTGTCTGAGTTTCACTGGCGCAGGTACCTCAGAGAAGGGGATTCACACAGCACTGTCTTCATACGGACAGTTTTTTTTTAAGTTTGTATTTAAATATTTTCATTGTATTTGAAAAGCAGAGAGAGGTCTTCCATCTGCTGGTTCACTCCCTGAATGCCCACAACAGCCTGGGAGGGCCGGGTCAAAGCCAGGAGCCAGGAACCCCAACTGGGTCTCCCGCATGGGTGGCAGGGACTCGGGGACCTGATCCATCGGCTGCTGCCTGCCAGGGTGTGCATCAGCAGGAGCTGGATGAGACGCCGAGTAGGGCACGACTCAACTGGGTCCCAAGTGCTGACTTAGCTGCTGCGGTGGGGGTGGGCGTGGCATTGCAATGCAGTTTACCCTGCTAGGAGTGCCATCGTGGGTGCCGGTTCAAGTCCTGGCTGCCTGCTCCACTTCCTCTTTGTTTTTTCTTTTTGACAGGCAGAGTTAGACAGTGAGAGACAGACAGAGAGAAAGGTCTTCCTTCCGTTGGTTCACCCCCTAAATGGCTGCTACGGCCAGAGCTACGCCGATCCGAAGCCAGGAGCCAGGTGCTTCTCCTGGTCTCCCATGCGGGTGCAGGGCCCAAGGACCTGGGCCATCCTCCACTGCACTCCCGGGCCACAGCAGAGAGCTGGCCTGGAAGAGGAGCAACCAGGACAGAATCCGGCGCCCCAACTGGGACTAGAACTCGGGGTGCTGGCACCGCAGGTAGAGGAATAGCCTAGTGAGCCGTGGCTCCGGCCTCTTTTTTTAATGATTTATTTATTTATGTATTTATTTGAAAATCAGAGTTACATAGAGAGACAGAGTAACCTTCTATCTGCTGGTTCACTCCCCCAAAGGACCACATGGCTGGGTCTGGGCCAGGCCAAAGCCTGATATTGATTGATTGATGAAAGTCAGAGTTGCGGCGAGAGCTTCCATCTGCTGCTTCACTCCCCAGTGGTGGAAACGGCCAGGGCTGGGCCAGGCTGAAGCCGGGAGCCAGGAGCTCCACGTGGTCTCTCGCAGGGAGAAGTTGATGAGCTTTACAAAGCTGCTGGTCCACTCCCATTGCCCTGAACTGCCAGTCACTCCTGCTTGGCCAGGAAGGCTGGGAAATGCCTTTCAGCCGGGTGCACGGCCTCCGTGGATGAAGTCGGGGCAAGGGAGAACGGATACTGAGGCACGGCTCCGGCTGCACAAACACGCCGGGACCTGCCGCCAGCAAAGGAGCACGCAGGGCCCTGGCCACCCTCCTGCTCAGAGTGGGCTCCAAGGTGATGGCTCCACGCCGGGAGGTGGGGATGAGCACACACTGCCTTACGTCAGCGTCACTAGTCCTAGCCCCGCACTCACAGCGCTGCCTGTCAGGTGGTGGAGACCCGGAGAGAGCCTGAATGGATGAGTGATTGACAGCTCTGCTGCGGGAGGAGCCTGGCCTAGCAGGTAAGAGGCCCGCGATGGCCGCGCCCTGCCTCGGAGCCCCTGGGTTGGAGTGCCAGCTCCACTCCAGACTCTGACGCACACCCTGGGAGGCAGTGGTGACGGCTCAAGTGCTTGCGTCTCGGCCAACCACGTGGGAGACCCGGGCTGAGTTTCAGCTGTTGCTGGCATTTGAGGAGTGAACCAGTGGATAGATCTCTCTCTGTCTCTCTGCCTTTCAAATAAAAAGTAATGAATAAAAATGTAAAACAGAATCATAGTGCTGCTCTCTTCTCTGTGAATCCTTTTTCTTCTTGTTCAAAATGTTTATGTGTTTATTTGAGAGGCAGGGACAGAGAGTGAGCTCCCATCTGCTGGTTCACTCCCCACAAGCTGGAACCCGGGGAGCCGAGACCCCAGTGCAGGTCCGCGGTGAGAGGCAGGAGGGCGGGCACTGTGCAGCAGCAGGAGCTGGAGTCAAACCCAGGTGCTCCAGTGGGGGTGGGGTAGGGCCTCTGAACCTGCCCAGGAGCATTTCCCATGAACATCTCGCACCTCACATCCTCAAATGTGGGCCCTCAACAAAGCCACTTGGAGATAATCCCCACGCCATTTCTGCCCACTCTGTTTGCCCTCAGCAGGTAACATCGATTCCTTCCAGAGACGAGTGTGGTGAGGGCCCTGGATCCCTCCCTCCTCCTACTGGGCTCCCCACCCCCGCCCAGGCCTAGGTCAGTCACCAACCGTTCTCTGACCCCACCCACTTCTGAACCGCCAATCTCCCTCTTTCCCTGGTGTTGTCCACCCCTCCCTCTTTCATTTATCCTTCAAACATTTTGCAAAAGAAAAAAAAAACAGCTCTCCCTCTCTCTGTAGCTCACTCATGAGATTGTCAAAATCGTAGGCCATTTGCTAAGAACTCGATCAGCCAGTGTTCTCAGTTAATGTGTATACTACAGGGATATCAGGTGAGTCACAAAACTAGCCCCCTGACCCAAAACCCACCCATCACAGCTCTGGTCATTATCTGGCCCCCCGGGGACTTTCCCTAGGGCTGTACCCCTCAGAGGAGGTGACTGCCTGGCCCTTGACAGTGTGGGTCTGGTTTAGCCATGGTCTCTCCTGAGCTTGTTCACTGTACGTCAGCCCCCTATCACAAATTGGCAATTTTATGACCATTCATTATTCAATAAGAAAAACTACTTTCCCTGCTTGACTTGTTTTTAAAACTTGAATTTTTAAAAAAGATTTATTTATTTATTTGAAAGGCAGAGTTACACAGAGAGAGGAGCGGCAGAGAGAAAGAGAGAAAGGTCTTCCATCCGCTGGTTTACTCCCTAATTGGCCGCAACAGCCGGAGCTGCGCTGATCTGAAGCCAGGAGCCAGGAGCTTCTTCCGGGTCTCCCACATGGGTGCAGGGGCCCAAGCATGTGGGTCATCCTCTGCTGCTTTTCTAGGCCATTTGCAGAGTTGGGTCAGAAGAGGAGCAGCCCGGACACAAACTGGCACCCCTATGGCGCTTCTGCATTTAATCTGTGGCAGTATCACATGTCATAGGACTTTGGGGAAGCTCCACTACACACAGTCTTTGTGAAACTAAGAATGAAAAAGGTTGAGGCTGGCACTATGGCATAGCAGGTAAAGCCATTGCCTACAATGTCTGCAACCCATATGGGCACCGGTTTGAGTCCCTGCGGCTCCACTTCCCATCCAGCTCTCTGCTGTGGCCTGGGAAAGCAGTGGAAGATGGTCCAAGTCCTTGGGCCCCTGCACCCACGTGGGAGACCCGGAAGAAGCTCCTGGCTCCTGGCTTCGGATCAGCACAGCTCCGGACATTGCAGCCATCTGGGAAGTGAACCAGTGGAGGAAGATCTCTCTCTCTGTCTCTATCTCTCTCTATAACTCTGTCTTTCAAATAAAATAAAATAAATCTTAAAAAAAGAAAAAGGTTGAGGCAGTGCTGTGGCGTAGCAGGTTAAGCCTCCACCTGAGACACTGGTATCCCATTTGGGCGCCAGTTCGAGACTCGGCTGCTGCACTCCCAATCCAGCTCCCTGCTGATGCCCTGGGAAAGCAGTGGAAGATGGCCCAAGTGCATGGGCCCCTGCACCTGTGTGGGAGACCTGGAAGAAGCTCCTGGCTCCTGGCTTCAGCCTGGCCTAGCCCCGGATGTTGCAGTCATTTGGGGAGTGAAGCAGCAGATGGAAGACATTTCTCCTATTCTATCTCTCCTCCTCTCTCTGTAACTCTTTCAAATAATTTTTTTTAAATCTGAAAAAAGCAAGAGTCTTAACATTATTATTAAAATGGTTTTTAATAAATAACTTTTTCAAGATTTATTTATTTATTCGAAAGGCAGAGGCAGAGAGAGAAAGAGAGATCTTCCATCCAATGGTTCACTACCCAGATGGCCCAAGTGGTTGGAACTGAGCTCATCTGAAGCCAGGAGCTTCTTCCAGGTCTCCCACATGCATGCAGGGGCCCAAGGACTTGGGCCATCCTCCACTGCTTTCCCAGGCCATAGCAGAGAGCTGGATCGGAAGTGGAGCAGCCAGGACTCGAACAGGTGCCCATATGGGATGCCGGCACTGCAGGCAGCAGCTTTACCTGCTATGCCACAGTGCCAGCCCCAAATCATTTATTTTTTAAAGATTTTTTTTTTTTTTTTGAAAGGCAGAGAGAAAGAAAGAGAGAATCTGGCCAGCACTGTGGCTCACTAGGCTAATCCTCCACCTTGCGGCGCCGGCACACCAGGTTCTAGTCCCGGTCCGGGCACCGGATTCTGTCTCGGTTGCCGCTCTTCCAGGCCAGCTCTCTGCTGTGGCCCGGGAGTGCAGTGGAGGATGGCCCAAGTGCTTGGGCCCTGCACCCCATGGGAGACCAGGATAAGTACCTGACTCCTGCCATCGGATCAGCGTGGTGCGTCGGCCGCAGCGCGCTGGCTGCGGTGGCCATTGGAGGGTGAACCAACGGCAAAGGAAGACCTTTCTCTCTGTCTCTCTCACTGTCCACTCTGCCTGTCAAAAAAAAAAAAAAAAAAAAGAGAGAGAGAGAGAGAGAGAATCTTCCATCCACTGGTTCACTCCCTAAATGGTCACAATGGCCGTGGCTGCTCCAGGCTGAAGCCAGGAGCCTGGAGTTGCATCCAGATCTCCCACAGAGGTGGCAGAAGCCCAGGTACTTGGGCCATCCTATACTGCCTCCCCAGGTACATTAGCAGAGAGACGGATCGGAAGTGGAACAGCCGGGACTCAAATCCAGTGCTCCAACGTGGAAGCTGGCATCGCAGGCAGCTGTTTGGCTCACTGCCCCGCCAGGACAGTTTATTACACAGCAACCAACAACGGGGACACGGGGCTCTTCACATCCTATGCGAGCTTTTCAAACTGCTGATCTAACCAAGACAGGCCCAGTGTGGATCCTGCGTCGGTCCTTGGGGTACAGGCAATGGTGGCGAGCCCTGCAGGCTATCAGGAGAGATGCCAGCAATCCCCTGGCCCCTTCACTCCAGCATAGGACCTGGGCAGCTGATGGATGGAAGTGGTCCCATCGTAGATTAACAAGAAAGCAGCAGCAGTAGCCACGGGCGGTGGTAGCTGCTGACACTTTCCTCAAATAAACGGAAGCCGCATAAACTCCAGAGAAAGCCCAGAGTCTCCTTCCCCTGCCCCAGTCTGCTCCGTCCCCAGCTATGACAGCCCCTGGTCAGGGAGGATTTCCAGGGGGACTTGTAAAGTTTCAAACAGAAGTTGCCTGGCCCAGCTTGGCTGCTGCAGCCATTGGAGGAGAGAACCAGTGGATGGAAGTGTGCTCTCTCTCTCGCTCTCGCTCTTGCTTTTGCTCTCTCTCTGCCACCCACGTGGGAGACCCAGAGGGAGCTCCTGGCTCCTGGCTTTGGCCTGGCCCAGCCCCAGCCCCAGTTGTTGCAAGCTTCTGGGGGAGTGAACCAGATAGAAGTTCTCTCTCTCTCTCTCTGTGCCTCTCTCTCCCTTTCGAATAAATAAAGAACTCCCTCCAGGAGCTGCAGCTTGCTGCCCCAGATGGCATCTATCTCAGTTTGACCAACAGAATGCGGAGGAAGTGCGAATGTGTGACTTATAGGCCTGGCAGCCCCCATTCCCATCTTTTTTGTATCAGTCACTCAGGGAGGAAGCTGGGGCTCCGGCTCACGCCGAGGGAGGCCTGGCCTGCACCCCCAGCCCTCCAGAGGGCCTCAGATACATGATGAAGCCGATGAAGCCCGCCCCGGCTCCCTGCTGGATGCAGCCATGTGAGGGGCCACAGCTCAGTCCAGCCAAACCACATCATCAGAAATAAGGAACCATTGCGAAGTTTAGCCCCTAACAGATAACCTAAACAAGCAATCTTTAAAAACCTAAGACTGGTTTTAGGTACTGTGGCACAGTGGGTTGAGCCATTACCTGCCTTGCCAGCATCCCATATGGGCGTCAGTTCGAGTCCCGGCTGCTCCACTTCCGATCCAGTTAGCTGCTAATACGCCTGGGAAAGCAGCAGTAGATGGCCCGTGCTTGGGCCCCTGCACCCACACGGGAGACCTGGATGGTATTCCAGGCTCTAAGCTTTGGCCTGGCCCAGCCCTGGCCATTGCGGCCATTAGGGGAGTGAAGCAGCAGATGGAAGCTCGCTCTCTCTCTCTCTCTCTGTAACTCTGCCTATCAAATAACTAAATAGAATCTTTAAAACACACACACACACACACACACACACACAAACCTGAAACTGGTGCAGGCATTTGGTGGAGCAACTGAGACGCCGCTCAGGACACGAGCATCCCGTGTCCAAGTGTCTGTGTCCACTCAAGTCTCAGCTCCACTTCCAACTCCAGGTTCCTGCTAACACAGGAGGTTCTAGCTCAGACTCTTGGGTTTCTGTCTCTTCCTGTCCTTCTCTCTCTTTTCTTGTCTAAAAGTAAACAAATGAAAACCTGAAACCACTGGGACAGGTGCTTGGCCCATTGAGTAGGAAACCCACGTCCCGTATTGCAGAACCTGGATATCAGCCTGAGCTCCAGCTCCTGATTCCAGCTTCCTGCGAATGCAACCCCGCGAGGAGGCAGGTGACGCCCTGCATAGTTGGGTCCCCGCTACCCATGGGTGATGTGGATGGAGCTCCTGGCTTCAAGCTGGCTCAGCCCCAGCCATTGCAGGTATTTTTTTAAATTGCTTTTAGGGACTGGCACTGTGGCATAGCAGGTATAAGCCGCTGCCTGTGGTGCTGGCATCCCATGTGAGTGCTGGTTCAAGACCCGGCTGCTCCACTTCCAATCCAGCTCTCTGTTGTGGCCTGGGAAAGCAGTGGAAGTTGGTTCAAGTGCTTGGACCCCTGCACCCACGTGGGAGACCCAGAGAAGCTCCTGGCTCCTGGTTTCAGCTCAGTTCTAGCCGTTGTGGCCATGTGGGGAGTGAACTAGTGGATAGAAGACCTCTCTCTCTCTCTCTGCCTCTTCTTTCTCTGTGTAACTGTGACTTTCAAGAAAAAGAAATCTTAAAAAAAAAAAAAAAAGGCCCAAGTGCTTGGGCCCCTGCATCTACCAAAAAAAATATAAACAAAATGAATAAATAAAAAAATAAATTATTATTTTAATTTGAAAGGCAGAGTTACAGAGGGGGACAGAGAGACAAATCTTCCATCCACTGGTTCACTGCCCAAACGGTTGCAACAGCCAGGGCTAAGCCAGACTGAAGCCAGGAGCCAGGAGCTTTTTCCAGGTCTCCCACGTGGGCACAGAGGCCCCCAGCACTTGGGCCGTCTTCTGCTGTCCTCCCAGGCACACCAGCAGGGAGCTGGACGGGAACTGGAGCAGCCGGGACTCACACCGGCATCCGTGTGTGATGCTGGCGTTGAGCTGTGGCTTTCACCCGCTACGTCACAGCACCGGCTCCCAATGCAGGCATTTGGGGAGCGAAGCAGCAGATGGGAGCTCTGTCTGTCTGTCTGTCTGTCTGTGCCTCTCCTGTGGAAAATAAATAAATAAATATTATTTTAGAGACCTGAAGCTGTCATGTGAAAACATGAATCTTGAGGACCTGAACAGGCCACACGGACTCTGGTGCAGAATCTGAAAGGTGCACCCACAACCCCAGCGAGGACCCGGGGGTACAACAGGCCCACTGCTTCCCGCTCCCGTGACTTCTCCAGGGCAGCCATGACGGGAGCAGGTGCCATCCAGTCCCAACTCCATCATCTCTCCGAGGCAGGGTCACTGGGCAGGCCATCCATCAGTGGGTGCACAGAATTTCTGGGCACAGAGAGAGAGAGAGTTCTCCTGGGAATTTTGCAAACAAAATATGTTCTTTCGCCTGCTGAATATAAAATTTTTCTTCTGGGAGGCTATTTACGGGGCACCTTGTGATGGATTTCAGAACAGTAGATGGCGGGCACACTTGAATAACTTCATCTTCACTGAGGAGGAGACAACCACCGGGGCCCTTGTGGCCATAAAAGGGTATTTGGCTGAGTGTCACCCCGAGCCAGGGGCATCCCCGAGGCACCCAGATCGATCTGGGGACTCTGCTCTGGGCCGGTGAGCTGGGGAACGGGGGTGTCGGGGGCGCTAGGTGAAACGGCTGTTTCCACTCTCACCAGCACCACCGGGCAGTGCCAAAGAAGGATGGAGCTGATCCCTGGCTGCTTCTCCACGCTCCAGACCCTAAGGGTCTCGCAGCAACAGAATGACATCGTTCATCACAGCCTGACTCAACAGGAAGTGAAAGCAGAAGTGCTTTATGTAGGCAACGCTGGGAAAAAGCTGACACAGCCACTCCCCATTGAAATGAGGCAGAAAATGTTCCATCACACACAATCAGAATAAAACACTGGGCCTGCATCCTGCCTGTCAACAAACAGCTGGGGCCTGCGGCTCTGTCTCCCTGCTTCGTTTTGGGTTTTTTTGCTGGCGTTTTTTTTTTTTTTTTTTGTGCCCCATTTTGCAGGTCTGTGTGCAAGGTTTGCCGCTCAGATGTGAGCCGGTGGGTAAGGAATTGAGCCTTATTCTGGGAAGAGGAGCGAGCAGGCCATGGAGGGGCTGGGAGGACAGCCCAAGACAATCCCAAGAAGTAAGGACTATCAGCATCACTGTGGCGCAGTGGGTAAAGCCCCCGCCTGCAGCGCCGGCATCCCACATGGGCTTTGGTTCGAGTCCCGGCTGCTCCACTTCCAGTCCAGCTTCCTGTTGACATGCGTGCACCTTGGGAGGCAGCAGATGATGGCTCCAGTGTTTGGGCCCCTGTCACCCATGTGGGAGATCAGGATGGAGTTCTAAGCTCCTGGCTTTGGCCTGCCCCAGCCCTGGCTGCTCTGGGCATTTGGGGAGTGAACCAGAAGATGGGAGGTCTCTCTGTCACTCCATCTCTCTGCCTGTCAAATAAATACAAATAAATAAATAAATAACAAGAGGGGTGGGCACCGTGTCATACCTGGCTAAGCTGTTACTTGGGATGCCTGCATCCCGTACCAAGAGTGTCTCTTTAGGCCGGCGCCGCGGCTCACTAGGCTAATCCTCCACCTGCGGCGCCAGCACACCAGGTTCTAGTCCCGGTCAGGGCGCTGGATTCTGTCCCGGTTGCCCCTCTTCCAAGCCAGCTCTCTGCTGTGGCCCGGGAGTGCAGTGGAGGATGGCCCACAGTCCTTGGGCCCTGCACCCCATGGGAGACCAGGAGAAGTACCTGGCTCCTGCCATCAGATCAGCGTGGTGCGTCGGCCGCAGCGCACCGGCCGTGGCAGCCATTGGAGGGTGAACCAACGGCAAAAGGAAGACCTTTCTCTCTGTCTCTCTCTCTCACTGTCCACTCTGCCTGTCAAAAAAAAAAAAAAAAAAAAAAAGAGTGTCTCTTTGTGCTACATCCCCATGGGTATCTGGGCAACCAGCAGATGCAGGATCTTTCTCTCTCTCTCTCTCTCTCTCTCTCTCTCTCTCTCTCATTCTGCCTTTCAAACAAATAAACAAAACAAAACAAAACAAAAGTACACCCCCAAGGGGAAGTTATGTTCTGGGAAAACAGACCCAAACCAAGCACTGTAGCTCCGCCACATATGCCAGGCGGGGAGAGAACTCACCCTGGGGTTGGAGATCCTCCCTTAACGACAGCCGGGGAGGCCCCCGATGCTGTCTCCTGCCCTGCCTCCCGTTCCTCCCGCAGGGGACCTGGTGCCGCGACTGAGGACCGTCTGACTTGGGATCCAGCTCCATCTCACCCAGGAAGTGCGCAGCAGCCACCTCTCCGTGCCTGTGGCTCCCACGCCTTGTTCCATGCAAGCTGCCTGGTGCCGCATGATGCAGACTACACGTCAGCCATAACCCCAACTCCCTCAGCCGATCGGCTCTCTTCCTCCCTCCACCACCCAAATCCTTTCGCTTCTGTTTTGGTCAGAGTGGAGTTGGGAGAACTCAGAGAGCGAAGCTGATCCAAAGGTGGGAAGGGATATAGGGAGGGGGCTGTCGGCATCCCAGCAGGCTCCTGGGAAGTCCTGGGCTCTCTTAACTTTGCCCAGGTGAGCAGCTGTTTACTGCGCCTGCCTTTAGCTTCTGGCAGAAGATGGGGGAGCTGGTGGCGGCACCCAGAGAAGGAGTGTGTGTGTGGAGGGGAGGGCTATGGCTGCTTTGGCCACCCCTCCTCTAACCACCGACCCCCTCCTCGGCCATTCCAGACCCCCACATCCTCTCTCTTCTGCCTCCCAGGTCTGAGGCAACTTGTCCTGTCTGCTGAGAAAGCAGCTGAATGTTGGGCAAGATTAATGACTCTTGTCCCCGAATGGCCCCGCGCGGGGCGTGCAGCGCGCGCCCCCATTCCCCACGCACGGGGCTGGAGCCGACAGAAGAGGAAGAGAGGCCCGGAGGCGAGAGGTACGGCTGGAGTTGGGATTCCTGGAGACAGGACATGGTGAGGAGGTCAGGGCCGGGAGCTGAGCTGGGCAGCCAGACGCAGAGTCTCCAAGGCCACGGGCACTCACAGGCATCATTAAGCTAGATTTACAAAGAGCTCGGGGACCCATAACCCCACTCAGCCCTTAGGGAAGTCTTGTGAGGTGGAGACTGATCTTCCACCCTTGCAAACAACCTCAGATAAGTTGTCACCCAGGCGATCATTCACCAAACATGTATTAAGTTCATGCCGTGTGCCAGGAAACCAACCAGCTCTCCTGCTCGGCCCGGCGCTCTTTCCATACATTTGCTTCAACACCTTGATTCCCTGGGAACGGAATGCCTCTTCTGTGGTTCTGAAACGACCATGGATTCTGATACAGCTCCCTTCCAGCTGCAGAGCCCCCAGGCAGGGAGTGGGCTAAGAGGCAAACATCCCAAATCAGGGAGGCTCCCGCCTCGGCTCCTGGCTCCACCTCCTGCTGATGCACACCCCAGAGACCACAGGGGACGGCTGGAGTGGCTCAGGCTGCTTCACCCCTGCCACCCACGTGGGAGCCCTGGGCAGGCTGCTGTAGGCATGGGGCGGGGGGCAGTGAACCAGCAGATAGAAGCTCATCTCCAGATCTCTCTCAATCTGCTTCTCTCTGCCTCTCAAATAAATTGATTTCAATTTTTTTTTTTCTTAAAAAAGCAGTGGAATCTAGTTCTCTCCTTGGATGTGGGCTGGGCATCTTTCCAACCTAGAGAATGAAGTGGAAATGATGGCCTGCAGTCCCAGAGGAGAGCGCCAAAGGGCAGCGCAGCTTCCCACTCACTCCCTCTCCTCCTCTGTCTCCCTCCTTCCCTCCCTCTTCTCACACGCTCTGTTAATGTGGTTAAGGCTGGGAACTTAATCCAACCATGTCGTTCAGAGGTGGGGCCTCTGGACAGCGATTAGATGGGGTACCAGGGTGGAGCCTGGAAATATCCTGGTGGTTTTACAAGGAAAGGGAGAGAGACACCACCCCACCACCCCCGGCAAGTGCACGCTGGCATGCACGCTCACACACACTCGCTCCAGCTTTCTGCCATGCATGCTCCGGGCAGAGGGTGCACCCGATCTGACCTTGGACTGTGAACCTACAGAACCGGAGCTGAAATGAACCTCTTTCCTGTATCAAGTCAGCCTGCCCAGGTATCGCGCTATCCTGATGAAAAGCCAACCCATACCTTCAGTGGGCAGCTGGAAAGTCCATTCCTCAAGCAGGGAGATGGGTCGGAGCGGCTGGGCTCAAAGACCTGCGGTGGCTGCTTCCTCGGTTGGGCAAGGCGGGGGCGAACCCCTTGAGCTCTCTCACCCTCAGTTTCCACAAGTGACAAGCAGCCATGACCCCACCCTGGAAGGGAAGAGGGTGGGGCTTCAACCTGGGAGGGAGCAGTGAAGACCTTGGACAGTGCCCACAACTTCCTGTTCTTCCCAAGGACCTGCCCGGAGGCCAGGCTGACACCGGGAGATCCGCCCTGTCTGGGTGTGAGATTGGGCCACAGGAGGCTGGAGCTACAGGGCAGGTCTCCAAGGGCCTTAGCAGAGGAGGGCCTGGGGCCACAGGGGAGTGCTGTCTGCCCACCCCTCGCCCGGCTTCCTCCCAGAGTGAAAGAAATCCTGTTGGCCACTCACAGCCCCTGACTCAGGAGGGCAGCCGCTGTTTCCAAGGCATTCTGCGTCCCATCCTTTCCCCAACCTTCTTTTCCCTTCGTCTCCCTTAAAACATTTTTTTGGAACATTTTAATCACAAATAACAGTTCGGAAACTAGTAACTGACTCAAGGTTTGTTTTTGTTTTTTTAAGATTTATTTACTTATTTGAAAGTAAGAGTTACACAGAGAAAGAGAGGCAGAGAGAGAGAGGTCTTCCATCTGCTTGTTCACTCCCCAGTTGGCCACAATGGCCGGAGCTGCACCAATCTGAAGCCAGGAGCTTATTCTGGGTCTCTCACAGGGATGCAGGGGCCCAAGGACTTGGGCCATCTTCTACTGCTTTCCCAGGCCATAGCAGAGAGCTGGATCGGATGTGGAGCAGCCAGGACTCAAACCGGCACCCATATGAGATGCCAGCACTGCAGGTGGCATCCTCACCCTCTACACCCCTGCCTCAAGGTCTAAGGCTGGCCTGGGTGAGACAGGTGACTGCAGTGAGTCCATTTTACAGATGACAAAACTGAGGCACAAAGGTGAAGTAAATCTGCCCAGGTCCCCCAGAGGCAGAGAGAAGCTAAAGGATAGGGTTGGCGCTGCGGCATAACAAGTAAAGCCGCTGCCTGCAGTGCCGGCATCCCATGTGGGCGCAGCGTTGAGTCCCGGTTGCTCCACGTCCGATCCAGCTCTCTATTTTGGCCTGGGAAAGCAGTGGAAGATGGCCCAAGTGCTTGGGCCCCTGCACCCACGTGGGAGACCTGGAAGAAGCTCCTGGCTTCTGGCTTTGGATCAGCTCAGCTCCCACCGTTGTGGCCATCTGGGGAGTGAACCAGTGGATGGAAGAGCTCTCTCTCTCTCTCTCTCTCTCTCCCTCTCTCTCTCTCTCTCTCTGCCTCTCTGTAACTCTGCCTTTCAAATAAATAAATACATCTTTAAAAAAAAAAAAAGGGGGAGAAGAAGCTAAAGGAGCTTAGAGTCAGGGTCACACCCCATTGACCCCGGCTGCTCCAAGACTTGGCAGGAGCCTCGATCTTGTACTCATATTTCACAGTCCTCTTTCTAGAGGCAGCAGCCAAAATTGGATGCAGCCACAGAGGTTACGGATGTCACGGTGCTGTCTCCTTGCAGGGATTTAGAGACGCACTCACATCTCCGAGCGCGGGCGCACGGGGACAGATCGCGCTTTTGTTTCAACTTGGGAAGGCTGCCTCGCGAGTGGGCCACGCCGCTTCTTCCACACGAGGTCTTGCCCCTCTCCAGCCCCAGCCTGTGCGGGAGCCTTCCCTCCCTCGGCGCCAGCCCCTTCCCCCACGGTTCCCCTTCGCGGTAGCCTCGCTGCTTCGCCCCCATTCCCTGCCGCCTCCCGTTCCTCCCCTCCCCCTGCCACCCTAAGGTCTGCAACGTGCGCCCGCCCCCACTGTCCCCTCTCCCGCCCCCGCTGCCTCCCGGGCCGCCAGCTCGACCCCAACTCACCCCTACCCCGGCCTTCGCGCGCCCCTAACCCGGTCCCCGGGCAGCCAGCGGGGAGCGCGCAGCCGGCGGGCCGCGACGCGCGCTGACAGCGTAATGAATGGCTCCGGCGGTAATTAGCGACCCCGCGGCTAATCACCGCGCACATTTGCATCTTAAGTGCTGCAGCGGGAGCGGAGGGGGGCCGGCAGGGGGATGCGGGCCTCCCCGGCCTTCTCCCTTCGCCGACCGAGAAGCCCAGGGCTGGGGCCTCCCGCAGCGGATTGCAGGGGAGCGGACGCCGAGCCTGTGCTCACCCGGCACCAACCCCGCAGCTCCCATCTCCCTTGGGCCAATCTACAGGACCCCCCCCCTCGAGACCAGGCTGGCATACCCCCGGGGATGGAGGGTCTGCTTCTCCCCCAGCTTCCCCTGGGGGCTTCTCCTCCGGCCAGGCCCCCGCAGCCCGCCTGGGTCCCGCTGATGCGGCGGGTCCCCGCGGAGGACCGACCCCGACGTGCAAGCTGGGTAGAGGCCGCGGCGGGGGTCGCCCTGGTCGCACCCAAGTCCTGGGTGCAAAGACCACCCCAAGCGGCAGTGGGGGGGGGGGGGCAAGCGCCGGGCTCTGCCATGCGGAGCCACTACAGCCACGGGGCGAGAGGAGGCCCAGCGGCCCTGGCACGTTGCGCCCCAGCCCGGGGTCGCCCCCTGAGTTCCGACAGTGGGGGCTAGAAGGGGGGATTAAGGGCACAGCCCTGCAGTTTCAGGGAGACTCAGGTTCCCTCTCCAAACCTTCGGCCCCAGCTTCCACCCCTCTGCAGCTGCGGGAGACCCAGCCCCGCCGTCCCGCGGGGGTCCCCTGGTTTCCTAACGGCCCAACCCCACCCATCCTCCCCCGTCTCTCCCCAAACCTGCCCTTCTGAGAAAGGATTTCTGTGCCACTTAAGGGGCCCAGGCTAACTGACAACGAATTCCATCTCCGAGGGGTCCCGGGGCCCACGTGGGCAGGGAGCAGCGCCTGGCGCGGCCGCTCCGAGGGCACCGCCAGGCGGGATGGGGCAGGCCTGCGCCTCTAGAGGGGGTCACCTCGTTCCCCTCTCCCTGCATCTCAGGGCACAGCTCGCCCCGAGCACTGTTCCACGCTCCGGGGGAGTATGGGCAGGGCGGCTCCGAGCCCCAGCCCGAAAACTCGCGCCCCTGCCGCTCCGCCAGGACCACGCCGCGACGTGGGGGTCCGAGCCCAGGCGCGCGCGGCGCGGAACCCGCGCCTCCCGCGCTCTGCTGATCGCGCGCCCGCTGTCCTTGAGGCGACCACGCTCTCCAGCGCAGGGACCGTCTCCGCGGGGTGGGGGTGGGGAGGCCGCTCGGGAACTCTTCCCCCTCCCCTAGGGCCTCGGGGCTGCCTTCGGTTGGAACGGGAAGGGCCCGGGTCCCTAGTTTTTTCATTAAGGATGCCGGTTTACGTGGGTTGGCTCGGAGAGAGCTGATGGCGACCACAAGGAAACTTGGCTTCCCAAGTCACCCCGGGCACTGCCGATGCGCCCCACCGCGCGCTCTTCCCGCGCCCGGGACCCCAAGCTGGGCGGCGGAGGGCGGCACGGGGGCGGGGAAGGGGGCTGGCCACCCTGGGCGGAGCCTGGAGGTGGGGGCGGGGCCTCCCAGGATCCTAGGCGGGGCCTCGGCCGAGGCGCGGAGCACAGGGCTCCGAGCGCGCAGAGTAGCTGCGCCCACTTGGGAGCAGCAGGGGCCGAGGATCGCGGCGTCCCAGCCCTCCCGCCAGCGTCCGCGCGGCCCCGGGCCCTTACCCCTGCCGGGCGCGACCGCGGCCATGCAGCCCCGCGGCTGAGGCGGCCCCATGGCCACGCCGGCTGCCCCGGCGACGAGGGCGCATGGAGAACTTCCGTAAGGTGCGCTCCGAGGAGGCGCCGGCCGGGGGCGGTGCCGAGGGGGGCGGCCCGGGCTCCGGGCCCTTCGCGGACCTGGCCCCGGGCGCGGTGCACATGCGGGTCAAGGAGGGCAGCAAGATCCGGAACCTGCTGGCCTTCGCCACCGCCAGCATGGCGCAGCCAGCCACGCGCGCCATCGTCTTCAGCGGCTGCGGCCGGGCCACCACCAAGACCGTCACGTGCGCCGAGATCCTCAAGCGCCGCCTGGCGGGCTTGCACCAGGTCACGCGGCTGCGCTACCGGAGCGTGCGCGAGGTGTGGCAGAGCCTCCCACCCGAGCCCTCGCCGGGACAGGCGCCTGGCGCACCGGCCGCCAGCCTCAGTGTGCTTAAGAACGTGCCCAGCCTCGCCATCCTGCTGTCCAAGGACGCGCTGGATCCGCGGCAGCCCGGCTACCAGCCCCCCAGCCCTCATCCCGGGCCCTCGTCCCCGCCAGCCGCGCCGACGGCCAAGAGGAGCCGGAGCGAACCTGCCGCTGGAGAAGCTTCGGGGAAGAGGTCGCAACCAGAGCCCGGCGCTGCTCACGAGGACCCGACGGCCTGAGAACTCGCTCCGGACTCCGGCCGCCTGCCACGGCTGGGTCTCTCCCCGCGGGTGCCTCTAGCCTTTCACGCCTGGAGCGCACAGCTGGGACGCAGCGACTGGCGGCGTGGACCCCACGGCAAGAGGAGGAGGACCCCAGGGAAGCTTTCGGGGCTGGTTGCTGCTGTGCCCAGCACGGCCTGAAGACGCGGAACCCGCCTTCTTCGCCTGTTCTGGGGCATCCTGGGACCTTCAGGGAGGGAACTCGGGGCGGTGGGATTCTTGAGGCGTGTCTGGGTCCCCGGGCGGTTAAAGGCACCCAGCGGAGGCCCGGGGTCTGGACGCGACCGAGGGGAGCAGGGCGGCTGAAGGCTGGGGAGTCTGGGATGTGGGGCCTGTTCCGCTCCCCCACCTGGGGTCAGTTTCCAGTGTTCCCCTTGCTTCCCTGGAGCAGCCCAAGGTCCTGGTGACAGGCACCGGGCATCTCCCCAGGCTCTGTGTCCCCCCCACCCCACTTTCCCCAGGCTGGCCCGAAGGGAAAGACTGGCCCAGGACTGCACGCCCCGTGCCTCCTCCCCCAAGCCCCACAGCTGGAGTCTTGCAACCAATAAAACAAACACAAAAATGGCTGTCCCAGGTTTTTTTCCTGACCACCTGCCTGTGCAGGCAGCCCTGGCCTTCCCCCGTGCCTCAGTCGCCGCAGCCTTGCCCCCTTAGCTTGCAAAGGGTCTAGCACAGGGACTGGCAGCCTCGCAACCGGGCAAAGTGTTCCCCAGCTCCACCCTTGCTCCCTGCCCTGCCTGGCAAGGCTCCCTGTGCAGCACCGCTGGGGAGAAGGGGGCAGCACACTGCCTTTCTGGGAGGAGAAGGAAGGGGGCTCAGTGAATCGCTGGTGGTCACTGCCAAGGATGGAGACTGCGGAGATCCCCAAACCTGCAGCCAGAAGGCTGGCACAAAGCCCCTGTCCCCTCCACTGCCCTCTCTCGCAGAAAGGACAGCACACCCTTGGGGGAGGGGAGGGGAGGAGGCACAGATCCGAGGCTGGAAATTACTATTCAGCGCGGAGGGACTGGGCTGTGATTCACTGCAGGCTCCCTGATAAGCTGCTGCCTCCATCCCCACACAGCTGGCTGCCGAGAGATAACGGCTGCCTAAGCCGCTGGGTCCAAGTCGGCTGGGGAGGGGGCGCTGGGTGCTGGCAGAGTGCTCGCAGGGGTGGGGACAGGGTCTCGGAGCAGACCCGCCCCCTGCACCTCGGGGAGGAGGAGCGGGGAAGAATGCATTGGTAGGCACTTTGCCGGCAGAGCCCTGAAATAAATCCTGCTGCTGGTGAGGAGGTCCCTCTGCTGACAGCGGGGGCTCCTCAGGGAGTCTCCCCACCCCTCAGCAGCTCCGCCTCGCCTGCCACCCGGAGTCCAGCCATCCAGACCCCCACTGCTTGTCCTCCCGATGTCCTCTTCTCTCTTTTTCAAAAAACATCTATTTATTTGAAAGGCAGAATGACAGGGATCCTGAGAGAAACACACACACAAACACACAGATCTTCCATGCGCTGGTTCATTCCTCAAATGGCCGCAGTAACCAAGCGGAGCCAGGCTGATGTGGGGGAGCTGGAACTCCACTGGGGTCTCCCACGTGGCTGGCGGGGGCCAAGTACTGGAGTCATCTTCCCCTGCCCTCCCCGGTGCGTTAACAGGGAGCTGGATTGGAAGTGGAGCAGCCAGATCTTGAACTGGCACTCTGATATGGGATGCCAGCATTGACAATGGTGGCTTAACCGTCTGTGTCATAACGCCGGTCCCTAACGTGTTCTGGAGGAACCCCTGGGTGGCCCAACAAGCGTGAAGAAGAGAGGGGCACGGTGTAACCCAGCTTCAGGGCCTTAACCTACCCCTGGTGCCGGACAGCAGGGCAGGGAACTGTGCTCTCACGGCCCGCCCCTGGCCTCTGCGAGCGTCCTGCTCGGTCTCCTTGGTCCTCTGGCACTGCTGACTGAGAAGCAGGCTCCAGAGAAAGTGGAGAGAGGTTTCCCTACCCCCTGCTCACCAGCAAGACTGAGGCGGGGACCTGAGAATCCCAGAAAGGGGAGGGGGTGTAGTGAGGGCAGCGCGGAAGAGACACAGCCCGCCAAGGAGCCAACTCGGGCCAGAAGACAGAAGTGGGGAGCCCCCGGGAGGCCCCATGCAGCAGCAGCCTCTCTCCAGGGCCTTCCTAGGCCCAGCCTGGTGTTTAGGGGCGGGGCCGAAGCCACACACCCAACTGTCAGGCCACAAAATCAAAACGCACTTGGGAAGGTAAAAGTATAAAACGCAAAGCCGGGGGCAGGCACTGTAGCGTAGTGGGTAAAGCCGCTGCCTGCAGTGTCAGCATCCCATATGGGCGCCAGTTCCAGTCCCGGCTGCTCCACTTCGGATCCAGCTCTCTGCTATGGCCTGGAAAAGCAATAGAAAATGGCCCAAGTCCTTGGACCCCTGCACCCGCTTGGGAGACCAGGAGAAGTACCTGGCTCCTGCCATCGGATCAGCGCGGTGCACCGGCTGCAGTGCGCCGGCCGCGGCAGCCATTGGAGGGTGAACCAACAGCAAAGGAAGACCTTTCTCTCTGTTTCTCTCACTGTCCACTCTGCCTGTCAAAAAAAAAACTCTAAAAACAAAAAAAAAAACCAAGGCAAAGCCAGAGCTCATGGTCAGGTGGGATGTGGACTTCCAGCTGGGCCTTCACTCCACAAGCAACCATCATCATTGAACCAGGTCCCAGGGGCAGGGCGGGCCTGGGCGGGGCATCAGAATAGT